GGACTTCTGTGTGGTCGAATTCTGAGAGCATCTCTTTTTTTGGGATTGACTCAGCCATGTTCCATCCGCTTGAGCGTCATCAGCGGAGCTGGTTAAATTTGTTGCATCTCTTGGCGGATTTCATCGCCAGTTTCAAAAGCTCTCAAATTTTTCATTGATTCCAGAAGTTCAATCAAGTTCCTTTGTGGATCATGTGCATTTTGAGAACAGAATGGACAGACTGGAAAGCGAGAAATCCCTCAAGTAGAAGTGACCCAACGTGAGAATTTCAAACCCGATGCTGTTCTTTGTGATTGTTTATCATCGTCCAGCACATAGACATAAACATCAGCACCATTGTTGTCAAAGGTTTGAACTTTCGTAATGCGGATGTATGCTTTTTTACACACTGATTGTACGTTTATGCGCTCATGTTCCAAAAGTTTACCCGCATATGTTTTATTTTGAAGCTTGAGTTTTTCTGACACGTTGGTCGCGGTTATAAGATTATGATACGTGAATTGTGGTCTTGCCCCAGCAGGCCTGTAGACTGTGGCTGAATGAAGTTAACTTGTTGATTCTTGTGATAACCAAGCGAATGAATGCTTTGCTCGTAATTCTCAGAAGCAGCATGACAGCGATCAACATCATGTTCATGGATGACGATTGATGATCATAACGGTGGCTGCGATGATGATGATCACGACATTGATGATGCAGTTGATGAGGATAATGAGAATAATCACGATAATAGGGATGATGAGGATGATGAGTACAATGAGGATAAAGATGATGAAGACGACGATGGATCATAACGATGCAAGTGATGAGGATGAGAATGGTCAGGATAGTGAATGATGATAACGTTGATGATGATGAGCATGTCAGTGATGACCCACAGCAATCATAGACAGTGATAGATGCACCACCGGTGCCGGTATCGCAATCATTAGGACCATCGTCACCACCAATAGCCATGATCGTCCGCAGCACCATTATCACCAGCATCAGCCCCACTACGCCACGCGTCACCCAACTCCATCTAATCTTGCCGAAGCTGGACCGAACCCAAAACAGCCGTAAATCACCAAATGTGGATTTCGAGCGAGCGAAAAGCATGAAAAGGACACACAAGTGCACTTGGGAATCCGGACGGTGGCCAAGCACTCGATTGCATGGACATGAGTTGTGCGCCAAATTTCAATTCCCCCGTTTGTTGTTGCAACAGACTTCATGGCAAAAGTCGCAGCGGTCTTGCCAAACCTGCCGACGGTTCAGATTGTGCTGAGCATCTGGCAATTGGATTTTTTTTGGCTGATCTTGGTCAGTCATCCAACATTCGGGTCATAAGATTGAACTGGCGAATCGTCACATCACATGTCGCAGACAAGCAATCTGACATCTATATGTCGCAGGTTTTTGCAAAAGATTGCTTTGCATCCGGGCTTGTCGCAGCTGGATCGTGACAGATGGTGATGGATTGAAAGAGATATGGACCCAAGCAATCATCGAATGTTGGAGTTTCGCTGCTGCCTCCTCCCAGTCGCTCCGAATCCTTTTAATGAAATCGTGCTTGAAGTTCCGCTTGCTACTTCGGTCCGCCTGGGCAGATAAGACTTCAAAGGACGGCATCGTGAGAATCCAGGCTGTCTGGAGCTGATTCCAAATGATGCGATGTCATGGAGCTGCTGCGGCCTCGACTCCCTCGACCTTCTCTTCCGGGCGTTTCCAACACTCAATACGAGCAGGCCGCGCATGGCAGTGGCTGGTAGGAGCTCCTTTGCTAGTCTGGCCGAGTCACCGCCTCGAGTCAGGGGGTTTACCACTTCACGCAAAAGCGCGTGGGTCTCGGGTAGAGCAGTACCTCGGAAGTTCTTGAGGTGCACGGCTTGTTGTTTTCAAAGCTATCGGCGCGGTGTGTACATGCTTGAGTGAAGCCTCAGACTCGAGGTCTCCGGCAAACCCGCGATGGAAAAGCCAGCGAGGCAAATCGTGCAGCTGCAACATGTTGAATCACAGTGTTGGTGCTCATCTTGGTGCTAGAAGAGTGTTTCTCGCTGCAGGCTCGCGCGGCTCCGGCTCCATTGTGGCCGCATGCGTTGTGGCAGGGGTTCGGACCTCATGACCAGTGCGCATCAGCTGAGTTTCGTAAGCACTTGCGCTCCCTTGCAGCCCTGCGCTTGGAGGTTGGATGTCACCGATCCCCTGCGGCTCGACGGCGGGCGCTGTCAGAGCGCCAGTCTGACGGTGATGGTGGAGCGCCCGATGAACCGAAGCTGGGTCTGTGAAGATGCCAGCGGCTGACCGTCTGGAGATGTGTGGTGACAGCTGGTGACGCCTCTCAGGAAGGCTGCTCCCGGTCTGAGCAGTTGGCGGCAAGCGCACACGACGGACAAGGCTCGGTGCTTTCGGGCTTCAGGGGCCTCGTGAATGTCGGAGCGTGCCATCAGTCCATCAGGAGGTGAAAGTGTGCCTTGGCTGAACTGGGCGGCGCTGGGCCTTCCGCATTTTTCCGCACGCGAGACGTCTGCGCTTTTCTGAGGCCGGTGATCCTGTTTGGGATCAGCGACTTGCTGCTTCCGGGTCGTACAAAGCGGATGCACCTCTTCGAACCTCGTGGCTCAGCCTGTCACACAAGAGACGAGGGACGAGGGTTCCAGCAGTTGCTGACGTGGCTTTTTCTCTCCGGGCGTCTGACGGATTGCGATGCAACGTGAGGTTGGGCGAGAATGATCGATGCAGCCAGGAAAGACTTCTGTGGGATCTTCTGCATGTTGTACGTGGAGCCTGGTCTTCAATCTGGGGAGAGGGTGAGTTACCTGCTGATCTCCTTTACATGCCTCGCCGAGGACGACTCCCAAATTGTTCCAGTCGCCAGCTGAGCATTGTCGGAGTCGTTCTGCAGCTTCCGTGTATTGCTCTGTCAGAGGTCGCCTCCATCGTTGAGATTGTTGCCTGCGACGACCTGGGAATGCACGGGCGGAAAGTGTCATGCTGAGCTTGGGCGTCACTGCATGTTATGCCCCGCGGGCGCATGGCCGATTGCCCAGGTGCAGGTCCGTTGTGTTGGCCGGGGCAGCTTGCGTGGTCTCACTGAGCAGGCGAGGCAAGTGTACTCAAGTGTCTGCGTTGGAGTCGTGCTGCTGCAAGCTTCCCAGGTGACTTCACCGAACCACTGGGGCTTGGCCCTGGTGGAGGATCGCGCGCTTTTGGCTCTTGTTTTGGGCAAAGCTATTGCGCGTCAGTGCGCGTGGTTGCAGGAGCTTCCAGAGGCGGTGCTGCCTCAGGCGACGACAGAGTCCAGCCCAGCCCAGCTTGCGCAGCTTGCAGCCGCCTCGAGTTTCTCCACTTCTTGGCGAGGACCTCCTGGACCTCGACGCGGATGCGAGTGATGGCGGGCGCACGGCCGCCGTCGTTGCGGGGCGCCTCTCCGAAGTGATGGCGCCTCGTCTCCGCCGCTGGGTCGTTGCAGCCCTTCGGATCCTTTTCGCCTTACCCCGAGGCGAATATGGACCTTGGGTCTGAAGCTGCCCAGAAGGCGGGTGCCCGTCCCCCATGCTTCGATTCCGGATGATTTCGTCATCGGTCACTCTACTTTGTAGCTTTTGACTGCCTGTTTTGCGATTGCGGACCTGGCTTTCTGACGCTTTCCTTTGGTTCTCCAGATTCTCGCCAATTGCCGTTTTGGGAGTAGCTTCATGAGTTGTGCCGTTGTCTGCCTGCCAGGCTGACGGGCCTGAAGCAGAAGACTCGGCTTCTGACTCTGAGGATGCTTGCGACATCTCTGCCTGAGATGCGTGGGGGCCGTGGGGGTGTCGGGGTGCAGGAGGGACCTGTGATGTGGACGCACGAGCGGGAGGAGGTGGCCGAAAGCCTCGGCCAGCTGTCGGCCGCTGCCTGGCAGCAGCGCCTCGAGGACGTCATGCAGACCCTACGAGGCGCGAGTGTCGGGCCGGGGCTCCGCCGTTGCTGTCGCTTCGCCGTTTCACTCTCAGCGAAAAGAGGAGTCCCCGTCTGCACGACGCCCCAGTCCGCGGAGGCGGCCGTCGCTCGTCTGCAAGCGGAAGCGGAAGCGATGCACGGAGAGCGGAGAGCGGAGCGTTTCGAGGTGTGCCCATCCCTGGCAGTGGCTTATGCAGCGCTGAGCTTCCTTTCACTGGAAAGGACCGGTGGTGGGGAGTGCTCTCAACCGAACTACCAGAATCCTCACGAGCAGTTTCAGACATCTAGGGTCAGCAACAGGAAAGACAAGTATTCTACGTCGTCACTTTCATGATGACTGGACAGGCTTGGCATCATGTCCGACTCTGTGGCTCAGCAGGAGGGTCGACTTCTTCAGGAACGAAGACTGGGACCTGACGAAGCGGTTGGAGGCCTGGGCCAGTCGCATCTAGAGCGGCAGACCGCAACGAGAGCAGATCAGAGCAGGTACTGGAGAAGCAGATGGTCGAAGTGCAGGGCATGGCCCGAGCACGAAAAGCTCTTGCTGGGGCGTGGGCCTTGAATCCTGTCGAATTGAGGGTCTTAGTTGTCTTATTTTCCGTTTGGCCTTGCTCGCACTTTCCGACAGGTCTTCACAGACAAGTCCGGCTAGTGGCCTCTGCTCGCAGGAGTTGTGTGAGATTTCGCTTGCTGCGCCTCAGACAAGACCTCATCAATTTTCCAGCGAGAAAATAAGCTTTGGCTTCTTGTGCTGTGCAACGCGTGCCAGGGTGTGCTGCTCAAAGGGAGGGTTGACGACTTGAGGTGTGCTATGATGGACCACAGTTGTTCCGAACAGGGCAGAAAACGAGGCTTTTCGTTCATTCATTTATCTGCTTCGGGAGTCAGTCTATGCATACTGGCAGCACTCTGCAAGCCACGTTGCAATGCGACGCATGTGCCCTCCTCCCCTGCACTTCTACAAGTTTGTAGAATCCCAATTCTTCTGGAGAGTGTCAGTCGCAGGCCGCGGTCTCAAACCAGGGACGTCAAAGTTGTGTCGGTTGCACGATTGTCGAGCGGGCTCTTCTGAGATTGCCATGGAGGCCATTGAAGCGCGCATGGCCAGCCTCGAGCTCCGGATGCAGGAGCTCGAGAATCGGCATGCGGAGTCAGAGCTCTCCCAGCGGCATCAGCAGGTTTTGGAAGAGGCCGGCGTCCGAGTGAGTGACGAGGCAGACGGGCACCAACACATTGAGATCGAGCCGCGGCAGAGCGGTGCCACCGTGACCAAAGACGACCTCGAGCTCTTGGTGGCCACAAGCTCCCACACCCTCGCTGACACCGTGCACGAGGCAATTTTGCTTGTGGGCACGGGCGGCATTGGGCCAGGTTCCCAGGCGCTCGTTGTGCTGGGGTTCCTCGTGAACGTCATCGTTCAAACGCTCTTCTGCGTGATCATCGGCAATTCCTTCTTGGATAACCCATATCCATCAGTGGAGGACTCGAAGAGGTGGCGCGAGACCATCGCGCACGATTGGAACTTCATGGACCAGTTGGGTGCAACATCTCTGGCGAGCCGCATGTGTGCAGGGGACGCTACTCTGTCATATGCCACAGCACAGGAGAGCATCATCTCGGAGATCAGGCTGTACAGTGCGGGGCTTCCAATCATGAACGTCGGAAGCATGGGGGCCATTCTGTGTCTTCTTTGTCTCACAGTGTGGTGGCTCCAGATTCTCCGCGAGCTCTGGAGCGCAGTGAGCTTTGGTGAGGGATGCATCTCTCTTCCAACGCGTTCCACCCGTTTGACAGTGACCGACTCAGGCTCCTTGCGCTTGACCTCGATCAGCGCGTCCCGCAAAGTCTTCGCTGTTGCCGTGATCGTCGTCAGGTTCGCTGTCGCAGTCTCTTTTCCTTCTGAACACCGGTTCCATCCAAGAGGTTGTGTTGAATGCAGTCGCCCTGGGTTTCATCCTGGAGACTGATGAACTTTTTTACGACACCGTGGTGCCTAAAGGCGTGAAGGCGGTCAAGGACGTAATCGAGCCACTACCCCTGTTGGAAAGCAATCATTGGGGCTCTTACACTCGTGCAGGAATCACTGTCGTCATCTGCACGGTGCTGCTGGTCGTCGCAGGGACGAATCTGAACGACACCATCTCTCACATGCGCGCCATTGAGGAGGAGATGTGTGGCGGCAGGAAGAACTTTGTGGTCGGCCTGGGTACTGCGACGGATACAAGCTATGCGGTGGAGATCCGAGAGCTGGATGAAGGGGGCGTGGATGCGGGCGTCGACTTCGGGGGTGCAGCACAGGCACGGCTTCGCTCCGACGGGGTGCGAGATTTGGTGGCGAGTTTGGTTCGGAAGCCTCAGCTCGTTGATGAACCCCGGCTGGTTGCCTCTGGCAGCTTGGGAGACTTCCTCAACCGCATGACGAACCCCCCGGCTCAGGCAGGCCCAGAATTCGGCCAAAATACATGCACCGATGTCCAACGTTTCGACGAGCTGATCATCACAGGCCAGTCCATGTTGTTGCAGATGGGCAGGAAGCCAAACTCTTGCGCGGAAGTGGCGCCCTTCTGCAACGGACCCGAGCAGTTCAACGCTCGGCTCGTTTGCCCAGAGACTTGTGGCTGCAATGACCCCATGTCTGGCCAGCTCTTGCTGGACGCGCAGGACGGCTGCCCGCGGCCGGCGTGTGAAGCCACTTCAATTTTCCAGAAGTCTCTCCATAACATCTCATGCCAAGATCGCAGCGCCGCGTCGCTGCGGGCTGACCCTGCATGGAACCGCGAGTGGTCCATCAATTTAGCATACATGGGCCGATTATCGACGAGGCTGGAGGAGTACTACACAGCCGTCAGAGGCTTGTTCATGGCAGCTGGCTGTGCAGCCATCAACCACCCCCTGCTATGGCACCCAGGCTTCGACCGAGACTGGTGCGTGGAGGCTCGGGGAATACCCAAGTTCGCTTTGTTCTGCCCGGAGACTTGTGGCTGCACCTCGAACTCTTCCTCCGGATTGAGACGGGAAGCCTGTCCCCCAAGCTGCTCCAGTTCAGCATAGTGTTTTAAGTTTTTAGTGCCCTAGGGCAGCCATTGGTGGCTGCCAGCAGGCAACTCCATTGAGCATATTCCATGCGCGCTCGCAAAAGCGAGTTGCAGCATTTTTGCTGTTTTAGTCTGGCTATTAACCTTGACCAGCTTACTTGTTGCAGCGAAGGCAACAGAGCAATCGCATGGTTGGAAGCGAGCAATGCATACGTGATCTTTAGGCATGTAAGAGGTTCGACGAAGGTTTCGACTGCGTAGCAATTTGTCATTGTCGTGATGGCGACCACCATGACGAAAAGAGTTGGAATAACGCGAGAGACGGTGAGCATTCCTCGGTTGCAGTTGCCATTTGGCCCGGACTAGAAGGTGTTGTCGAGGTGGTGTTTCGTTTTCATCTGCGGCATCAATGGTAGTGGACGGTAGTGGTGGTGGTAGTAGTAGTCGTCGTCGTGGTAGCAGTAGCAGTAGTAGTAGCTGTAGCAGTAGGAGTAGCAGTAGCAATAGTCGTAGTATTGGTAGTAGTAGTAGTAGTAGTAGTAGTAGTAGTAGTAGTAGTAGTAGTAGTAGTAGTAGTAGTAGTAGTAGTAGTAGTAGTAGTAGTAATGATGCATTGTTTGCAGGTCCCAAAAGCTTGACGACATGGAGTCCAGAGCATGTCATGATTCAAGGGTACGTTGAGGACACAAGCTTTGCTGCATGTTGTACATCATGTTGCAAAGTTTTTTTAATCGTTTCTGTTCTGTGTGTATTGTGAGCAAGATGCTACCGCTGCAATGCATCATTGTGGCGCACCTTGCATGCAAGCAGCGTGAGCCAGAGCAGCAGTGTGCCTTTTGTGTTTCTGATGTTCTGAGGTTCATACCTTTTTACTTGACTTCTGCGACAAATGCTGCGGAACGAGATGAACCAGAGGCAAGCCTTGATCTGCACGATTTGCGTGTCGTGCATCGCCTCTCCAGGACAATGCTCCCGTAGCGCGAGGTCCACCGTGTCGCAAGCGCCGATCTCAGATTGGGATGCTGGGAAGGCTTCGTTACGTTGAACTTGGTTTGCATGATTTTTTTGTCACTTCTTGCAAGGTCGCCGCTGCTGGCCGCTTTGAACGTCAGTGGGACTCATGGCCAAGCGTTGTCCTTGGTTTACCGCCCGGTGAGGAGCTGGAAGTCTTAAGCGATGCAACTGTAGACCACAAGCCGTCGTATCTTGCATCCCTTCTGACCTCAGATGCTGGTCGTCTACAGTGGCAAAGGTTGGGACTGGTCGGAGAGGATTGGAGAAGGTTGCTTTCATTGCCGTGTTGCTATCTGTACTGTGTCGTTTTCTTTCATGTCGCCTGTCGAGCTGTTACATACTGCCCGTCTCCCTTTTTTGCTTCGCAGGAAGGGCAAAGGTGGCAAGGGCAAGCACCGCCGAAAGGAAGTGAAGAAGGTCCGTGGCCTCTGGATCGCTGCTCCGTGCCTTCTTCTTTTACAGACCTAGCATGATTTCTGTCCCGATCGGCTCACAGTGCCTCACATGGCAAAGTGACCCCATCCGTCATTTCACAACTTGGAAAGCTGGCTTGAGATGTTTCGTCAGGATAATTTTAGCAACAACGGGTGCCGCCTGGAAAGCCATGGCGCTCATAGTGGCGGATGTCAGGCGGCTTCTTGCTGTAAGGTTTCGTCCGTGCATCAAGTGGAGGATATACATGACAACACCATGAGGACACCAAAGGCAACTGCCCGTGTACAGTTTTTGCTTCAGGTGTGCCCCGGAAGTCCACGGGCTCCGGCAGCCGCATGGTCGTGAGTGGCTTTTCTTGTCATGCCATGTCCGACCAGGGAACAGTCAGCTGCTTGCATCGTCCGATGGTCCAAGGTACAAACCCGCGTCGTCCGTGTCGCAGTTGGGAGTGCTGCAGCTGGCGGTGCCTAGCGCAGCTTCAAGGAACTCTGAAGCATGCAGGTGGGCCTTGCTACGGTCGCCCCTGCTACTTATGTAAGTCTGTCCCATCTTCAATGTCAATGAGTCCTCCACCGTTCTTGTCGCATTTCACTGCCTGTACGAGACCACCGTCCAAGTGCCACAGCAAGCCGCTTGACACCCATCTCGGACAGCCAACATGAGGTGTTTTGGCAAATCGAAAAGGGGAAGGGACAGCCGCTCTCAATCCGTCGGAGCTTTTTTGCGAGCTGACGGCAGACCCAGAGATACTCCTCACAGGACTTTCGGAGGCCTTTGCCTTGGAGTCTTTGCATCTGCAGCATTGCGCACGAGCCACCGCACGGAGCCGAGCTATCTCCGAACTGCCGAGCCTTGATCTGCATGTTTGCTGCGTTGCTGTGCGTCCTCAGGTCGCAGAAATTATAGGAGAGATAGGACACGGTCGATGGCACTGGAGGCACGTGAGGGTTTCCCTGGCCGCTGCACTTGAACATCGTCCACTCTCAAGCTTGGTGTATAGTGTATACAGTATTCACAGGTACACAATGTGCGGAGAGATAACCAAGGGCCAAGAGCATTGCAAGAGCAAGCATGCGCTGACTCAGTGCACGAGCTGCCGGTGTGGCCGTATGCATGAATGCATATCAATATGCATGCATGCATGCATCGGCAGATACCTATGTGGAGAGCACGTAGATTCTATCATTGTGCATACAATATATGTCTGTACTAGTGAAACTGTCTGAGTTCCTACGTTTGGCTTGGCGAATATGGTGCAAGGCTGAGGACCGCAGCGGCGAAGCCGCAAACTGCGGCATTTGAAGCTCTGCGGCAGTCGTGTCTGACGGCATAGTGTGCTGTGTCTGTTGACTTTCCGAAGGGGTAGTCGTGGAACTTGTGCAAGTGTCATCTACTATCAAAGTCTTGCATTCCAAGGCGGAGTATTTGGTGGAGAACGCCGCGGAATGCTGCAGGCTTTCATTTGGAGCAAGATGACGGCTGACTTTCCATTCCTTGTTTTTGGGACGTAGGCTGGCCTTCTGCTCACTCTTCCGTCTGCTTCTCGCGCGGTGCCTTGAAGCACTGCGAAGGAACGGCTTCCTCAATTAAGTTCAAGCCGCTCGTGGATCGCAGTGCCTTACAGCGTCACTGAGGAGCAACTCCAAATCCAGGACTCCGTGAACTGCCCGAAGCTTAAGTCTGGAGAGAACGGTAAGTGCATGATAGCCGTTTTCACTTCCTTGCTCCGGCCTTTTTGTTTTGCGTGATTGCGTGATTTCGGATTTCACGCAGAATTTTTTCCTTCAGACATCAGCTCCACCTGCAGGCATCAACTGCAACGGCGAAGGATATTTGACATGCTTCAGGCATGTGCTTCTCGGGGCCCGCGCTTGTCGAAGTGTGGAAGTTTCTGAGCATCAGAGCAGGTGTAAAGGGACGAAGAAGATGCGATGGCGCCTTGACTGGAATCGTAGTGCATCGTCGCATCCCTTCAGCACCATATTTAAATCTGTGTCGGTCGGCAAACGATGGCCGCAGGCTCTGTGTGTGCTTGATATTCTGTCTCTCTGTCTGTCTGTCTTTCGTACTCTCTCCTCGGCACAACTCAGGCTTGAAGAGCAGACTCCTCAAGCGGAACTGAAGGATTGCATCGAGTGCGACGATCCATGGCCGCACTTGATTTCCCTGAGCCCGAAATCCAAGAATCTTGGGCATCGCTGTGCTCGCGCCGTGTCAATTTTGTTGATCAGGTTCCAAATCGCCACAGTAGCCATGGATCCGTCCTGAAGCAGTAGTACTGCAACAACTTCAACAACAACTGCTACTGCTACTCCTGCTGGTCCTGCTCCCAGCTTCCGCTCCCGCTCCCGCTCCCGGCCGCTGATTCTGCTTCTGCTGCTGCGGCTTCTGCTCCTGCTCCTCCTGCTCCTGCTCTTACTACTGTACTGCTATCGCTACTGCTGCTGCTACTGCTACTGATGACAATTGCTTCTTTGCCTACCGCCTACCGCCACTAGTTTTGGTTTATGATCACGGTAGATACGTTGTTTACATAAGAGAGCTGCAGGACAGACCGCCGCCATCATGATCACGACCATAACCGTGTCTGTCTTCGCAATACTACCGGCAATCGTCCTAATACCTGCAACATCTGTCACTTGTACGAGAGTGTTAATCGACATAGCACCGTGGACAGAAAGAACCGCAGACCCACAGCAGGGAAACTTGGCTAGTGCTACCAACCCTGGCAACCGTCATCCTGTCATATCCTGTCAGTCAGCATGTTTCGAAGCACTGCGTAACGCGTGTACGGGCAACCGGTTGCGTATAGTTGCGTGTTGGTTCTCGAAACTATCTGCGGTACAGGGCAATGGTATTGGCAAGTGGATGGTGGTATACAACCTTTGTAGGTGGTATCTGGCACTGATGACCAGGCAGATGGTGGTCAATAATCCTGGACGGACTGAGTTTACTGACAACCAGCCGCAATTTCCTGCATTCGCCTGCTGTCGCGTCTTTGACCTTATGTGTCTGGCTGAGCTCAGGCCACGGGATACGTACCTTGTGGCCGTTGCCAGGCTACAGGGCTGTCAGCCGCAAAGCTGAAGTCCTACAACCGTTCTTTGCCTGAACAAAAATCCTCCCAGTTCTTCTCTGTACATTTGAGACTTCAACTGGCTCCTAAGGCGATGAGAAGTTCAGAAAGGCTGGGTGGATCATGCAAGCTTTTATCCCTGCGCTTCCCCTTGATTGAGATTGTGGCGCGAACCCGGAAGATCAAGTGCGACGACGATGGGAGGACCGGATGCAGCGGCTTAATTTTTCATTGATGCTACATCAGAGTCGTCAAACTGGTTTGTTTGATGATTTTGCTGGTTTTGGCTCTGCTAGTGCTGGGAGGATTTGCACTGTTCGAGAGTTTTCTGGTTCCCACACTTGGGGCATTTGGAGTGGCCAGCTCGCACCCAAGGGTTTACCCATGTTGTTCTCCTCCAACCGTTTGCCCCGTGCTCTCTGTCGGAAGCATTCAACTGTGGTCTGTGCAAACAGCAGCATTTTCAGTGAGCGTAGCTGTCCGTAGACAGTCACATATGCATCGGTAATGTGCAACTTGGGCGCACGGTGGTTAGTAACTGCTTTACAATTGATTCTGGTTCCGGTCACTGTGCATTGTTTACACTATTCTTTCAATGTTGAAGCGGCATTCATACTTGTAGCGCTTGCCTTTGAGACAATAGCAGTCCAATAGAAAAGGTGCAGAAAAGCCAAAAGCAGCAACATCGGTCAACTACCACTGAGAGAGAAAAAGCAATGGCGGAAAAGGCGCACGGTAAACACTAATGCGCAGGTGAACTTGGTACGGTGAACAGTCCCGGAAGTGAGAACTTCAACTGTAACGGATTGTATATAACGCTCGGCTATCTACTTGTCGATGCTGGGAGACGAACATCAGGGAGCAACGTATTAAATGTGATACTGGTGGCAGTTCCGATGTATATATTAGGGAGCAAAAAAGATCAGCTGCGCCTGATGGTGTTAACTACTTCTGCACTCGTTGTGATCGAGCCTGTGGAGTTGCAGGGCGAAGCTGAAACGAGTCATGGCCACCGCCATCGTTCCCCAGCTGCACAGACGGGAAAGGCTTCAACATGTGCGGTCGAACGGTTTAAAACTGAAGGCAGGCTTGCCTGCACTTTTTCCGGATCCGGCGCTGGTTCTGCAGTGTCCTAGGCGGAGGTGGAGGCCAAAACGGCGGTCTCAGAAGGAAGGGAGGCTCAAGAAGTGAGGGCTCCGGAAGCGCCCAAGGAAGAGCCGAAGGGCACATGGATCGGTAGCTAGGCACATCCTTTCTCTTTTAACTTGGATTGTGGGAGGCGCTTGTTGTGCCCTAAGGGGACATTCTATGCTTGCCGAGTTTTGGAGCGGCTTGCCAGCTCGAGACACTTGAATTTTCAAGAGGTGGAGAAAAACCGAAGCGGTGCACGTTTTTTTTGTCGCATCTGGGCGTTACAGCGGCCGTCCAGGTTGTAGATCCAGCATTGCCCGCTTGGGGTTCTCGGCCAGGTCACGTTCCTCTCGGACATGTGGCGCTATCACCTGGAGACCAATCAGTGGTGAGCCATCTCAGCTCCTGTCGTCATCTTTGTCATTGCTACTACATTATTGCTGTTCATTTCCTCCTCCTCCTGCCACTACAACTACTTCGACTACTACTACTACTACTACTACTACTACTACTACTACTACTACTACCACTACTGCGACTACTGCTACTACTGCTACTGCTACTACTACTACTACTACTACTACTACTACTACTACTACTACTAGTACTAGTACTACTACTATTTTCAATTGAACGCTGCGCGAGCGTGCTCTGCGCTTTGCGGGCGCCTTTGGTCCCGTGCACTCGTGAAACTGGTTATCTGCTAGCATTCATCGCTCATATTCCTCTCAGACTGCTCAGTTGAGTAAGACTGTACATCTATGGCTTCCTCCTCCGCCACCTTGTTGTGAACAGACGCGTCCGTCTGTGCACCTGTCCCAGCAATTAGGTCGTACTTCGGGCGAAGCCGGCGCCTAGAGTATCCGTCTTGTGACGTCCCACACGGATTACTCATGCTGGAGACAGAAGGCCGTAAGGATCACATGTGCGTAAACCTACATACGACTCGGAGTGCTTGTCGTGACTACCCCCCAATAAGCGACGCTCATGCTCTTGGCTTTCCTCGGACTGCATCCGTTATTCTGGGTAGGTTTCCTGCAGAGCTGAGTGAGTCAAACAGCCGACAGCTGACTGACCATATCGGCTCAGGCGAAGTGCAGTGTCCTGCATTTTGCCGTGGCTAGCGCGCTGCTCTACAGCTCCCGAAGAGATTTGCAAAAGCGTCGGAAGAGCACCGAATTCCCAGAGGCTGTGCCATACGGGATTTGAGGAGTCTGTGACATTTTCTAATTGCTCCCGTACTAAAATGGGTGCTGAGCCTAAGCGCCCATATTGGGGCAAGAGCAATTCAGCACTAAGCTGGACTAAAAAGTGGCGCGCTAGGGAGCGGCATTCTCGCCGACGCTAAAAGTGATTGCAAGGCGTGCTGGGCCCTAGTCTGATCTTGAGTGAATCTAGCACTAGGAGCCATGTCCTTTAATGAGAGCGCGGCAGTCTTCAAGGCGCGAGCCAAAGACATTGGGGTGTCGGATGAGAGCATCGCGAAGCTTGAGGCGGAAGGGTTGACAACGATGGCAACTTTTGCCTTCTGTTATCATTTCAACCCGGCTGCGACAGATGCTTGTGCTCCGGGCTCTTGGCAGTAGCAGGCGAGGCAGTCATGACGGCCAAAGGGAGCTGGGGGGAAGCTGACTAAATAAAAAGAGCTGATTGGGAGGAGGGAAATTACAGAGTGTGCATGTCCGCGTGCACTCATGACACACTTGGCCTTGACGTGAGGCGGCCTGCGTCAACATGAAATTGACTACAGGCTTCTCACGCACGGGCGCCCTGCTTAGCCCTGAAGGCCGAGGTTGGGCCGGCATGCATCGCCTGAAGCGATGATGCTAACGAGTTCGTTGCAAGAAAAGCATGTAGACGTTTCGGGAAAGTGATTGAACCAAGGCCGCTGAGGCCCTCTCCGGAAGCTTGTAGTCGTCGCAAATCCACACCTGAGATCTCGCATCCGCGGGGACCTCTGGCCAGAAGGCTCGGTAGTGCCCGGACGCTAGGGAGTCCCCAAAGTGGGCAACTCCTGCCAGGACTTGGTAGGATCGTTGGGCAGTGTGCTCGCTGGATGTCCACACGGACACCATGGCACGGCCGGTCCAGGCGCACGGCTGGGTATTCTTGACCCCGTCTTGCCATCTGCAAATCACAACATCTAGGAGTTCTGGGGCCCATACCAGCGCTCGACTAAAAGTTTGCGATTCCCAGAGTCTTAGGCAGGCTTGGAGAGACAGAGGTCCCGTCGGAAGGGGAAGGAGAAGAGGACTGACTCCCACATCCGACTCCTCAACGATTCCCCCAGTACGACCCTGCCACTGAGTGTGCTGAAGGGATCCCATGGGCTTTTGCTGCAGATGGTGAAGAAATTCTGAGACATCGTGTTGCCTGCCATCCAGTCGCCAACCGGCAATGGCATGGCGAAATGCAAACAGGCCGAACAAGTTCAGAAGTCTAGGGGCGCACTCATCCCCGAGATGGGTTAAGACAGATTGAAAAGCACCCAGATCATACCCAAAGCTCGATACTTGATGCAAGGCCTGGAAGAGAGCGTTAGCGTAGCAGGAGTTTGCCGTGTTAGACAGTACGCGTTTGTGTAAGCCTGTAGGCTGTGGCTCTGTGTTCCTGGGGGCCTGCGTCACAGACTCCTGGTTCGAGTCTGTTGTAGGATGACGAGCTGTGCTCGACGAGTTGGAGGCTGTGCCATTCGACCTAGGTCTAAAAAAGCTGGCCAACGACTTAGTCTGAGGCTTGGGAGGCGGGGCGACGGGATCGACGTCCGCGTCAGGCTGCCCTCGCAGCCACTGCGTGCTTACCTGATAGAGCACCGGACACTGCTCCGGATGCAGTCTGCGGTCATAGACCTTGTAGCCACAGAAGGGACATGAGTGGCCCTTGGCTAACTGGGGCGAGTAGCCCTGACAGATATTAACAGCCCGCCTGTGTAGGCGTGACCAGTCCTTAGGATGCGCCTGACGAAAGTGCGACTTGACTTTGGTGTGGTCAAAAGTCCAGAAGTCACACGTTAAGCACCGATGATTAAGGACCTTGGAATCCGCAGTCCTCGAGAGCTCCGCGATGCGGTGTTGTGGGAGCAGAGCAATGTCTTGTCTCAGCTGGAAGAGAGTCCTAATATCGGGATGGTTGGACTGTTTGTCTGCTTCTTTTAGTGAACGGAGCTTCTGAGGTTCCGGACATGCCCCCGAAAGCAAGTGGTCACGTAGGCCTTTCCATTGATGGAATTTACGCTTACATGCCGCACATTGCGGCATCCCATCCACAGCGTGGAGCTTTCTATCGAAGCTTGAAGGCACAAAGCGGTCAATGCTCGCCGGATGAACCCTCGACTTATGCAAATGTAGTCCATTTGCAGTCTCAAATGAAGCCGCGCAGAGCGCGCACTCGTATGAGGTTACCGGATGTTCCTCGGGCTCAGGGAGTTGTGACAGGACCAACAGCTTATCTCGGATAACCTGCAGAACCGAGGGGTCTGTCGTGATGTCCGGGCTTTGCACTGCTCGTCGCTCCAGTTTGCGAAGCCGCTTCCTTAGCTTGGACTGCAGTGCGTGGACAGGGTCCTGGATGTTGTAGAGCTGGAAAAGATCCTTAGTGGTGATCCGAGTGGTGTGAGCCGGCAGGTTCAGCACCGATCGTACCTTGTAGGCGTGCCAGCTGCGAAGCTGTTTGGCCGACTCTTCGCTTAAACCGACGTCAGATAGGCCAGTCGTCAAGGTGCCCAGGACAGTACTCTGCCACACCTTAAGGCGCGACATGGTACTTGCATACCTGCGGTTGTAGACGAATTGGCGAACTTGATGCAACTTTTGCTTCGCCTCCCCCATCCGAAAATGCAGAGTCTGCAACTCGAAGTGGTTGTAGGAGATCATAACTCCTAAGTACTTGCTTGAGGAGACCCACTGGAAGGCAGGGAACGACTTGTTGGGCCCGATGCGCCACCCTCTGACTGGCTCTCCTTTGGGGTTGGTAATCCAGCAGCTGTGTTTGTTCATCACATTTTGTGCTTCTCTACCTGCCAGCTTTACCAAAATGACGCACTTGCCGATGTTGACTCTGAGTCGATGTTTGCGGACCTCCTCCAACAGGGCAGCTATAAGTGCATGGATGGCCTTGAGGTCCTTCTCAGAACGAATAGTCCTATGAAGCGTCAGGTCATCGGCGTAGCCCGTTAAAAACTTCAGAACCTGTTCAGCACCGAACAGATCCACCAGAGACCGGAAGAGGTCACCTGTGAGGAACGAGAATAGGGTGGGAGCGAGCTTACATCCTTGTTTAATGCCTGCTGTGGTTTCGATAGAAGTGGAATCGCCTTGGGCATGTAAGACGTATCTGGATCCGTCATGGAGAGCTTGAACGAGGTGGACTGTGTCCTGGTCGGCCCCCTCACGCTGAAGGAGACCGATAATCTCTTGGCGAGAGACTGTGTCAAACGCCTGGCTTAGGTCTAAAGCAAAGGTCAGACCGCCTACTAGAGATGGCACCTGTGTGCCTTGCTGTATAGCATGTCTCGTAGGATGAGCCTGCTCCAACAAAGACCGAGCCTCCCGCAGATGGCACACGACTCGTTCCAGCGCATCTGAAAGCCCACGACCAGGAAGGTAGGCAAACTGTGGCATGTGTTTTAGGAACGAGAGGGTCAGGGGTTGTAGCGCCTCTCTTGCCGCTCCAGCCAGTCCTTTAGCATCCGGTCTCAAAATGCCCAAAGGACGCAAGTTTGCTGGCTGTCCGAAGGCTTGCCAGGTTTGGGGATTAGACACAGATCTGCGTCGATGAGATCAGATTCTAGTCCATCCTCTACTTGTTTAGCAGCCACATGTCGGGAAAGGACCGGTGCAATGACGTCACTGCAAAGTCTCCAAATGGCAGCAGGTGCAGCTCCGTCAGGCACAGCTTTGTTAGGCTTGATGGAATGAATGTGAGCGGCTAATTTGGATGACTCCAAAACCGGAAAAGCTCCAGTCATTGGCCTCAGCGGGAGGTGAGCCGCGAAAACCTGGTTCGCGTACTCCCTGAGTGCCGCAAGCTCCTGCGCTGGGCCTAGAAGATGTCCTGTGCTGTCCTTGAGCTGAGCCCGACGCGCCGGCTGCCAAGGCTGCAGCTTTTTAAGGGTTTGAAACGAAATATGTTGGTCGCCCTCCGCTATGCTGGCGTCAACTTCAGCTATGAAACCCGCTATTCTGTCCTTTTTTGCTTGCTTCACAGCTTGTCTGTGCGCAACTTGCGCCAGCTCCACCTCAGTTTCCGGTTTGGGGAGTGTGTTCAACCCAGGAGGCTGTGCCATTGGTTGATGAGGCTCGATCAGCTGTGCTGAGGGAGCTGTGTTGTCTGCCCTGCAAAGGGTCCTGGCCCTCCACATACGTCGAGTCTCGGATTCAAGCGGGATCAGTCGTCTTTTGGGGAGCTTGGGGAAGAAACGTTCTGCACCCTCCAGCAGCAGTGCATTCCAATCTGAAGGGTCCTGACAGGACTCCATTCTGGATGCTACCCAACTAGGCAGTGCCTTGGCTGTGTCGTCCTCCTCACGGACTGCGGCCTGAAGAGCTAGGGAATCATAACGGCGTGTGCTTCCCTTGTGCGGTGGGAGTAACCAGTGGTGCTGGAGGGGGATTTCGGCCTTAATTGGGTAGTGCCCTCCCTTCTTCCAGCTACCCAACGGGCAGTCCGTCCAAGGGGCAGACCTTTTGGCCTTGCCTCCTGCAGTGGATTCCTTAGTAAGGACAAAATCGATTTGCGACTCCACGCCACCTTGAGCAAAGGTGGCAATGTTGTCACAGTGCCAGGTATTAAGGGCCACCAATCGCAACCTTAGCAGCAGGTTGGACAAGTGGGATTCGTCTGGACGATCCTCCGTGGGCTGCTTCACGTGTGTACCCACCAATGGAGGACACGAGCGCAGGGAGGTATTAAAGTCGCCTGCCACGACTAGAGAATCCCGCTTGGGCACCTGCTTGACCACCTTAGACATGACTGATAGTACATGAGCACGGTCGTCCTTGTTAGACTGGATGGACTTGGCCGAGGACCAAGCATGTTGATACACAGCCACAATGACCAGCCTAGTACCTGCCATGTCTGCCCGAGCTTCAAGGACCCTGCCTGGACTCCACTCCTTCCAGCGAAGGCTCTTGGCTGCAAACTTGAGTGAGAAGAGAATCATGACGCCATCCGCCCGGGTCGTGGATGGAGCCGCTTTCGGTTCCTGCCTAGTCTTGCGCTTCGCGCCCTGCTTCTGCTGGGCGCTACGTTTGGCAGACTCCGAGGCCGAAGAGATGCAATGCCAACCTGAAACACTGAACTCGCTAGTCTCCGTCCAGTGCGTCTCCTGCAGGATAAGGACGTCGCAGTGGTGGGAGGCTTCAGCCGCCAGCCACGTTTTTAGTTCTCCCCATTGCTGTTGACCTAGGTGCCCCGCGTTCCAAGAGACTACCCGAATGGATCTTTCTAGTCGTCCTGCCCTGCGGGAGGCTGTGCCATGTGCAGGGGAGTCAGCAGTCTGTGACTGAAGCTCTCTTCGAGTCGGTGGGGGCCGCACCCCCAACTGGTTGACTAGGGTCGGTGTCAGAACCTGTCCGCGGTATGGTACGGGTCCGTCACTTCTGATTGTCCGTCTACATGCTGTCTTGAACGAATTCTTGCGAAGAGATGCAAAGTTTTGTGAGTGCACTGGTAGTTGCGCCATCCGCTACTTTCGTCAAGAGACAGAAGCCTAATGACTCCCTCCACTGCGCGGAAGTGGAAACCCTACCGCCTACCCAGTGTTGCAATGTTTTAAACAGAGTCTGGGCCCAGGAATTGGGACCTGGCGGCTCAAAGCAGCTCCTGTGAGAAAAGGGAGAGGACCATGGCGTAGAAGGAGGCACAAACCTTTACTGTTCAGAAAAGGGCCCGGTTGGGACCTCTAGCACAGCAGTTGCGCCCCAAGCCTGTTCGAAACCTCTCATTCAGCGCGGCCGCTTGAGCACTTGTGGCGGCTAGTACTACTACTACTACTACTACTACTACTACTACTACTACTACTGCTACTTGACTACTACAATTGCCGCTACCGCCGCCACTACCACTACCATCACCACCACTACTACTGCTGCGACTACTCCTACTACTACTGCTACTACTACTACCACCACTACTACCACTACAACCATTAAAACCACTACAACCACTACAACCACTACCACTACTACCACTACTACCACTACTTCCACCTCTACCACTACTACTGCCACTGCCCCTTCGCCACAGTCACGAACTCGACCAGGAGCACCAGGAGCGAACACCACACATAAGCACCACGAGCACCACGAGCGCCACGAGCACCACGAGCACCACGAGCACCACGAGCACCACCAGCAACACCGATGACCACCACGACCAGCGCGACTACCAACGCCACCACCGTTACCATTGCGACTAGCCGCTGCCAATGGCACCGATTGGACAACTACTACCACAGCCAAGACGTGCATCACCAACGGTACCACCAATAATGCGCTTCGATGAACGCTACTAGGCCTTTATTTCTGATAGTTTGAGTTTGGCTTCGTGGAGCGATCAAGGCACAACTCTTGGTGCGGACAAGCTGATGTCTGCTTTTGGTTAATGAAGCTTTGCTTGGACGTGGCTCATCGGAAGGCCAGTAATTTGTCCAGCGAGTTCGGGGTCCAGCTAGTGAGCAGGCTAGCTCGGCAAATGTTGAATCCGGAGTGCCAACCCCGGGCCCTAAACCTCAACAAGGTTCCCAATCCGCTACGATGACGGCCCCTTGGGAAGGTGGCCCGAGACCCAGGTTCGAACATTCAGAAGTCAGTTCATTAGTTCAAGTACTGGCCAAAGGCCACATAACTTGCCGCGGTATGCAGCTTTTCAATGTTGAAACGACACTGTACATGTATATGCATTTATGCACAGCATGCCATGCTACCAGGATTTTTTGTATCTGTTGCACTGCCTGAGGATGTAACACATTGCAAGTTCGCCGCACTGCTATTGCTGCACTGCTATATTGGGCTGTACAGTAGCTCGTGGGGTGACTGGGACCTGCTGAGCCCATTTTGGGTGAATATTGTCCAATGTCTAGTAGGCTTGCTGGACTTGTCTATGATAACACATTTCTAGGTTTGATGTTTTAGATGTTAGATTGCAGGCTATGTGCTATTCACTCGTTGCCGTTGATGAGAGAAGTATCTCTTTCCAAGTCCTGATCCCTCCAGTGTTTCCGTATCAGGAAAGAGGGCGCCACGCCTGTTTACAACAACAGCGGCTCACTCAGAAAATTGTGCTGCGGTTCCCCAGGAAGTCCTTCAAAACGGATCGGTGTGGCTGAGAGTGGGCACCAGTCTAGACCGGGCGAGTCAATTCATGGTTTTAGTGTCTCGGTCCCGGTGTGCAGGCGAACTGGTGTTGATGGGCGGCTGCACAGAAACCTCTGTGAAGTTTGCCAGGCGTCCGTTTCCGCGCAGAGGGCTGGCCCTAATTGCAGTTTGTCTCTGACAGGAACGACCTTTGGGTGCGCACCCGGAGAAGAGATGAACGCGTGGGGTTTCAAAAGCATGTGAGCATGAAGACGAGGTCTTTACACCAGTTCGGGGTGGCGGTTCGTGGAGGAGGGTGCACACGTCCAATCCACCAGTCGCCAGGCTGGGGTATCCTTGCTTGGATGCAGGCAGTGGCTGATCTCGAGTGCATACGATTTGTGAGGCGTGGTCATGTCCTCGTGGCCAACCATTCGCACCTGATCATGTTCGGTGGCAAGGCTTGACCACGGTTGAGCTTGTGTTCGTGCCATCTCCCGAGAGTCTCTGTGTTGGTGATCAGACGACTCATCGTCGGGAAGAGAGGTGGGTCGCCGAAGAAGGGAGCTCGTACTTCGTCCATGCGGCTCTCCGTGAATGGCAGGGCTTTCGAAGAGATGGAAGAAGATATCCCAGATTTGGATTATACGCCACAGTCACCGTCTCAGTACCACTTCATGTCCAACTGGTGTTCTCCTTGATGTGAAATGCTTCCGCTGAGAAATCAGACTGCCCAGGCCGGGGGAGAAGTGCCTGGTTGACCTGTGGGTCATCTCCAAAGCCTGAGCCCGAGATTGCGTGTAGCTTCGAGGCAGACAATTTCAAGACACATCCTCTTGCACTCTACGGCCCAAATAAGCTTGTCATTCTCTGCTGTGCAGTTCGCACCGGACGGAAACAGCACACGTGTCCACAACTACGAGATGTGACCTCCTGTTGAAGTGTGTAGAGTAGATGGCACGCGGTATGTATGCGTATCTCTATATCAGAATTTGTGTATCTGTATATTTCATATGTACACCGAAATATGTGTATATATACATATACACATATATATATATATATATATAGATATTGCACACATACACATATATGTATACACATATTTGTTCACTTCAAATATGCACATACATTAGTACATACATACATATATGCATACCTACATACATATTTAAGCATGCCTGTATATGTAGACACACATCCACAACCATCCTGCGCACATGGACGGTATTTCGATTAATCGTTATGTTGACCTCCAGCCTCGTAGTTCCAGCTTCCAGACGGGGCCAGGGCAAATGGTGGGGTGAGCATCACTCGCTGAGGAGAGAAGGTCACAGGCATATGTATATGTATATATGCACACGCGCATAAAACGTAGATTGTATATGTACAAATGTTTATACATGCATATATGTATATATACACATGTATGTATGTATGCATGCATGTATATATGCATATAGGCTTTCGGTACGGATATCTTGAAGCACCACATTATCTACGCAAAAGTCATGTAAGATCACGAAAGTTGTACCGTCAATTGTTTCGTACATGTTGAACATACAGCTCCTATGTTTGCATCTCAAAGTCTGACTTGTCAATGTTTCGCAGCAACACATCTTCATATGTTCCCGTATCTTGGTACACATGAGCACAAGCACGCGTATATGTCTGTCTGCATGAGCATATGATGGTGCGTCTGCCTGTATGCACAACTTAGCTCTGGAAGTTGCAGTTCGGCTCGTTCGACTCACCGGCTTCTTGCCCGAGGCAGTTTCGATTTCCTAGTCTTTGCATGGCACTATGCCTGTGGCCGTGAATGCAATACATGCCCTCAACGGGATGTGCGTGCACATGTACATTTGAGTACAGACATGTGCTACCTATTTTAAGTTTGTATTCGTACATCTACATATATATATATATATATATATTATTTGTAAGTATATACATCTATATATGTATGTAGGTATGTATGTATACATATGCGTACATATGTATACATATGTATACATACGTATGTGTCTATATGGTTGTACATGTACGTCATATATATACACACATACACACATATGTATAGTTTTCTGTACACATCTATGAGTCTATATACATGTACATGTGTATACATATATATATATATATGCATATTTATGATTATATATACATTCACCTGTATGTTTGTATACATATATCCGTCTATATATGTATATCCATATTCATACATGTATATATTATATATATGTATGTGCCACATATCTTTGTGCTATAGGCATCTGTATTTGTCAACATATGTAGATATCTATGCGGCTTTACAAGCATCCACGCATGTATACATACATGCATACATACATATGCAAATTATGTATGATGCATCTATGCATACTTGCTTATATGCACTCATGCATTGTGTATACTGGTGTATATGTTTGTTATAGGTACAGGTTTGTATGCTATTGTTCATATACATATGCACACATGTATATATGTATGTGTATATATGTGAGTATATACAAATGTATGTATGCATATATGTATGCACATGCATATGCATATGTATATGTATATGTATATATATATATATATATATACATACACGTATGTACATGTCTGTTTGTATATGTAAAGGTACATTCTTATGTATATGCACATGTATATGTACATGTATTTGCATATGTCTGTGCATACGGTGTATCGGTACGTATATGTTTTTGTGTGTTTTTGTATAGGTGTATAGATGTATAGATGCACAGATGTATAGATGTACAGATGTATATGTGTATATAGTGTATGTGTATGTTTGCAGGGCTTCTTTTCTGTTGACTCCACGACCGTTAGGACGACATCGCACTCCTTCACAGATCAGCTTTCCATGCCTAGTTCTAAAGTACTTCGGCTTTGCCGCTTAAGCCCTCGATAAAATTACTGATAGTCCACTCATTCAGCAGTCTATAGTCGGCCCCAGGACGAGGTGCTCAAAGGCAGCTCCACGGACGAACCTCCTAGGTTCCGCATGCCATGTTTAGCTTCGGACCCAAAGCGAAGTCAGTGCACATGGTATTGTCGGTCTGCTTCGCAAGCTGAAGTCGTGCAGGTGGCAGGAAGGTGCGCCATTCCCGGCGGGCTGCAGTTGCTTGGCTTCAGAAAGCAGCCTTGACTGAAGCACATCCTGCCTTAGAACAAGCCCATTTTCAGGATGGGGTGGCACTGGCGCTTGAAGCTCAGGCTTTTGCACCGCACAAGTGAAGTGCTGCACACATCGGACAGCCGAGTCTTTCCTTCGCGACTATCTCGGAAAGACCCTTCGCTGCCTCAACATTGGCATGTTTCTGGGCTTCCTGGTGACGGTGGTCCTTTCTGCTTCAGCTTGCAGGAAGTACTTGGCCATGTTCGGTGGTCGCCACTTGAGTGCCGGGAGTGCCTGACACTGAGACCATGGGAACGTAGATTCGCGCGTTTCATTACCGTACCTTTCGATACACCTTGGCCGCTCAGGTGGAGCACCAGGCGAGCAGTGCCGGGGACCGAGTCGCGAATGCGTGCAACGGGTTGCCACCTCGGACTGCTCGCCGAGAAATACGTGTACTACAACGACCTCTGGCTCTACGACTTCTTGCAGGCTGAATTTTCCATAAAAGCTTGTCTATACCCAACGTCGGTCACCCTAAGCTCGAAGCTCGTCAAGCTTCCATGATTTGCTTCTTGAGCGCTCCCAGACTCGGAGGATGGTTGGTACCAGGCCCCCACCAAGGGTGCCAGGCGGGAGCCGCGGCAGTAGAAGAGTTCAGAGTTTCGGAACGAAAGCCCAGAAAGGTTCAGGTTCTGGGTTGCGGAGGGTTTGGGGTGATTTGTTCAGCAGTTTAGGTGATGTAAGGCCTCGCTTCTAGCAACTACCTTACCCCAACCAGCCACGAAACACACAAATGCGGCTTCAAAGGCTTCGTTTCCATGCAGCGTTCCGAGCCTAAGATCTCAACTGTACCCTAAGTCCGACTTGTGTGGCAAGAGTCCTTCAAACAACTTCGGAAGTTTCCTACTTTGTTCCGTAATGTCAAGCATCTCATCTCCCGGAGAGGCCCTGTCCTCGGGATCATCACGGAGCAGCCACCTTGAACGACAAGCTCTACGTGCACCCGGCCCGTCCAGTCAGGCTATAGGCTCAATTTCAAAAAGCTGTGTCATGCAGTTCGGCAGCATACGAGAATCTAATGTTCTGTCTTGTCATGTAGCAGCAGACACTGCAAGTTTCTATTCCCATGCCACAAGCGTCACAGCCTATTTGGCACTCGTAGGCACACTGTTGTAGGCGACCTTCACATTCTGGTTTTTCGATGACAGATCTACGGCGGCCGTCGCTCCGAAGAGCGGTCGGGGCACGCGGTGCTGGCCGACGTCTGGAGCCTTTGCCTAAGGCCCTTTCAGAAGGTCCACACCTGGCTTGACATGTCGTAGAAACCGAGATGAGGGGAGAATCTGGGCCTACGTGTGCGTGTGTGTACACGCCTGAACATGGTGTGAGATTGAGCCTCTCTTTGTCGTTAAGTGCAGCTTGCAGCCAAAGTGACAGTGTGTTTGCAACAACAGCGGTCGTCCTCTTTGGACCGAGGCTACGATATCAACACACTCACCTGGACGGAGCACATTCCGCTGGCCGGGCACACGGGTTCAGGATTTGGCGTGAATTTAAGAAATATTTACATGACGTAGTGTAGGTTGTGCCCTAAAAACACCCACGTGGAACCGTAGCTTTAAGCAGCGTATGCGGAGGCATCTCTCTTAAGCTGGATTTGATTGCTGTCCATCTATGTCCCAGTCAAGAGACTTAGTTCAGTTTGTCAACTTCATGCTTTGAGCTGGCTTTCGTGCTACTTGAGGCATAATCTGGACAACTAAGGGTCGCTGGTGTATCTCAGGTTTCTGTTTCTTTCGACAGCCGCGTGTGAAAGGAGCATAAGAAACGACCGCGAAGCTGCGACGGGTGTAGCCAGATCACTCTTGCTAGAGAATAGATACACCTTTTCGTTCTTGGGAACCTGGAAGAGGTGTCGAACACGGTCAAGGCATGCAACCTTTCCCGTCCCTACTCTGACCGCAGTTTGCTCTCCAGATCCTCGGAGTCGAACAGAAACGAATCGTAAGCACACACGGAATAATCATATTCCATGAGACATGGAATTTTGGAAGTGGGTCTGTTTCAGGTAGTTTTTTACCTCTCTGCCAGTCGGAAGATCCTGCCAACCTTCATAAATACATCGCATCTGAGCAATGTCCAGGCTTGACACTCCGTACACGCAATTTAGACTGATTATGGCTGGCTGAAGTAAGTGGTTTCGTGCTTGTAAGGAACTTAACGTGTGCAGGAGATCCAAGAGAAGGGACCATGAGAGCGTCATCAGGGATTGTGGTGTTTTAGATTCTTGAGGTTTGTGATTCATGAAGCAGACACAGCATAGAGGGCAAGATTGGATCTTCGTGACAAGGTCCGCCAGCTACGGCACTCAATAGAGCCTGACTGAGATTGGGTGAATGGTAAGAGTTGAGCGTAGAACGACGCCACATTGCGTGAGCTTCGTTTAGTCCCGCAACATATGCATCATCCTTCTAGGAGACCAACACCCAATGCAAACCTGTCGGTCCACGGTGCTTGGTCGAAGCATCTGCAAGCAAGCCTGAGCGTTCTGACCTTCATCACCCAGCAACGCCCAGGGTACAGCTCCCAGCGCTCGATTCATGCCAGGAGTGTCGGGGGCCTTGTGTCGGAATTGGGAGTTCCTAAGACGAAGCACCGCGCTTGTCAAAAGCGAGCAAAAAAGCAAAGACTTCAAGAAACGAGCGTGTGTTAAACAGGCGGGGGGGGGGGGGGAGTTCGGACTCCGAGGGGTGTCTCCTCGAAGAAACAGAAACCGCTCACCAGGGGGCCTCTCGTCTCATCGGGGCCGAGGGGCCGAAAGAGGAGACATCTGAGAGTCTACCAGCAGGGCCCGAGTATCGCCGAAGGTGTAGCTGTAGCTGTCCTCAGCCATACGGCTAGCGTGCAATGCCATCACGTTTTGGTTGTCAGTTGAAATGCGGCTTGGAAATGGACCTCATGGCCACGACGAACCGAAGTCAAAACGGCTAAGAGCGCCATGATACGCTAGCGGCACTGCTCTCGTAGATGTTAGAATGCCAGAGGGTTCTGAAAGTCATTGTGTTTTGAATCTGGCGAAGCATCGTTTTATGTTGGCGGTAGGGAGACGAAAGAGTGGTAGCAGATGGCAGCAGTGCTGTGATTGGAGTTGAAAATTCATGGGCTTGCTGCTGACTATGAGGTCGGACATCCTGTACCAGGGAAAGCAGCACCTGGCGGTTTTCGCAGGCATTCTCCGATGTGTATGCTCATTGCTTAATCTGGCTTTTGTTACTTCCGTTCCAGCGCACTAGGGTCCGACTGTTCTGTTCTATCATCGATGCCTGCTTTTCTGCCGTGCAACTCGTTTTTGTGCAGGTGAGACGTTGCCTGGCTCGACGAAGAGGACAACGCTGAATGACCTCTGGGTTTTCGACCCTTCCTCGGCCAAGCTCCAAGTGGTTCCGGCGTGAAGCACCAGGGTTTTACCAACACGCATCAATACGCGTTTCTTGTTTTTGTTGAAGCTAGCTCCTTTGTTTGGGCCATTGATTCCCGAAAGCACAGCGGCAGAGCTCTCAATTTAAGCGGCGCGCCAGTCCTGGAATGTGTAGGATAGGGGCTTAAAAAGAGTTGTGCGCGAGGCCTGTCCTGTCAGGAACAAGTCCGGCATGGCAGCGGCGAGTGTTTGGAGAGCTGCGGCAAAGGGAAGCTTGTTGTGAAAGCCTGTCGCGCGACTAAAGCTTTTGTTCCGGCGTTGCGCTGCATCAGCTACTATCGGTATGAGAATTCAGGCAGCATGATTTCTAGCAATCCTACTTTTGTTTCGACTCTGTTTTGTTTTTCTTCCCTGTGCGTCTCATTGTCATTGACACGCTAGGTTGTTCTTGCTGGTTGCGTTATCACGGCTAGTACAATCGTCCTTGCCAGTCTACTATTGTCATATCGTGTCTGTTATCACTTCTCTTGTCACCTCCTCCTACACCTCCTTTATGTTGTCTTCATCACCGTCATCACCGTCATCATGACCATCATCATCATCATCCTCCTTGTTGTCGTCGTCGTCCTCTCGGGCATCGTCGTCGCGTCATCGTCGTCGTCGTCGTCATCGGAGCCAGAATCAGCACCAGCATCATCAGCATCCGCATCGTCGCACGAAGTTTACGTTTTACTGGTGCTGTTTCCATGTTGTCGCTATAAATGCGATGCAAGGCCGTGTGGACGGAACTTTTTGCGCCAACCTGCGAAGAAAAGCCAGTCTCCTGCCTTGTGTTCCGCGGCTTTGCACAGGGAGTGGTTGTCATGATGATGCTTGAGCATGTGGTGTTCACGGTCTTGAGTCCGTTGTTCGCCATGACCTGCCTCCTGTACGACAGAATGCCGCTTCCTCGTGAGTTCGTGCAACCTATTTACGACTGGGAGGGCTGGTACCTGCGGTTCTTCAGCTCGGAATCCTCAAGCCCGAACCACAACCTCAAGCATCGAACCGCTGCCCTCATGGCCCTAATGCCCCTGCTGTATCTACGAAGCCTTAAGACCCAAACCCTAGATGGCCCTAGATCTCAACAGCCTTAAAAACCCTAAATCCTTCACCTTGCATCCAAAACCCCAGCACCCTAGGCCCTGAACCCAGATCGCCCCAAGCCAGTGGCCAGGTCCCGGAAGAGTACATCAGCTGGAGCACGCAAGGAAGCTCAGCTCCGAGAGACAGGCAGAGAAGGGCAAGAAATCGTTCCAGGGTTTGCATCTGCGAGTTCGGGGTTCTTACAGGGCCGCAAGTTGAAGCGTTAGAGGGTTTGCATCCTGAGAGCAACGAGTAGAAAGTTGCAATCGACATGTGAGTGCGGTACTGTTAGATACTCTTCTGTTTCCACGGCGGCTTGGTGGTCCATTGCTGGGCAAAAGCCTTGTGTGTCACAAAATGCTGTTGCTCAGGGAAATCGGCTGCCTGGCTCTGGTGTTCTGCTTCGGGTTCCAGCCTCAGTTCGTGAGAAGCTGGGGAGGGTGGAGAGGGCAATATGGCAAGCAAGGGTTGGGAAGATGGACGAGGGTTGGGATGCGACTTCCGGAGGTTTGCAATTCTGCAAGCTTGTGCTAGGTCCTGTCTTGCACCTCTCGTCAGGCCAGCGCTGTACCTGGGCATCAAGCAGCTGGTGAGGCCATCACAGGCCCGGGAAATGCGAGGAGCTCAGAGTCATCTTCAAATTCAAGCGCTTCCAGATGCCTTTGTCTGCTCTTCCGAGCCTTCAGGTCGGAACCCTTTCTCACCTGAAGTCGACGAGCAGTCGGCTTCTTTTTCCTTCTGGCTTCCATGCTTTGCTTCTTAGCCGCTGCTCCGTCAAGGAGGCGAGAGGGCTCCCATCGACCGGGCCTCTGCAGTGGGGCGGGAAAAGAGGGTACAGCATGTAATGCATCGCACAGTGTACACAAAAGCTGTGCCATCTATCATCTATCAGTCAAAATCAACATACAGCTGAAAGCTCGTATTCCTCTTTAAGAACACTTCGAAGCCGGGCATTTTCATACCATCAGATTGATAAAGCCATCGGTAGCAGCACAAGAAGCTATGTCGTTCGCGACCTTGTTCTGTGATGGCATAGTTGGCCACACTCCGGCAGGCATTTTTGCTGGAAGCACCAGAGGCTCTGGTGACGAGATGCCTTGGCATTGTTGACGGCCGCAGCTGGCTGATGCAGCAGGTTAAGCTCACCTGGTCAAGACGGGTGGGGGTTCGTCCGAGCATGGTGGAATTTAAATGAAATGGAGAAACACACTGAGGTGCTTGGAAGTGATTGATCTGCTCAATTTAAGGAGTAGACAAATAGGCAAAAGGCAGTCAAGGGTGATCCTGCGATATCCTGCGCATGGACCGGCGGCGAGCGGCAGATCTGGAGGCATTGCACAAGAAGTCTGGGCATCCGTGCATGTCTGGAGTGTTTCGCGGCACCCTAACCATGTGAATTGGCTAGCACCTGGTATGTTTAACAAATTTCAAGATTACTTTTCAGGGGTTGGGCCGATGGGAAGGTTCTGACGCTCCCTAGTAGCTCGGAGACTTCCCAGCCCACAAGGCTCGCGGATTAGTCGGGCAGCCTCTTACAGCTGGTGAGATCCGAAAGCATCCCAGTTGGCAGGTCGGCCGAGGAAGTGGCCCTGGAGACCACTGTGGCCGTTTATACGTCAACGTCGTCGGCAGCTCAGCCAACCAGTCTAGAGTCTGAAGGTTGTGAACTTTTCTGTAGCAGGCGGCATTTTGCCGTCCGGCCTTTTGGACGATGAGGCAAGAACAGACAAAATCCCGAGCGCTCGGGATTGTTTTGGGTTCAAGGTACCGGGATTGTCGAATTCTGTTGGAGGTTGGTCTGTGTATGTTCCTGTACACCGGACTACCTGAGTGCACAAAGCCTTCGGACACACGTATTGGGCTTCAAAGGGGGGCTTGCATTCAGAATATTTGACTATCCAGCGCTCGCTCTCACGCTCTATCTCTCTCTCTCTCTCTGTCTCTCTCTCTCTCTCTCTCTCTCTCCGTCCGTGTATATTTATACGTAGATGTGCGTTTTCATCAATATTTGTTCCAAGCATGATTCCCTTGTACTCCGCCTAAACAAAATCGAGAACTCGCAATACGGCCCATCCCCGGCTCCAATCTAATCATTTCGATTGTAGTGACATTGTAGTGATTTTGGCCCCGTACATTATTTGCCCACATTGGGTTTTGGAGGGCTGATGCCATGCGGCTTGACATAATAGAAGGTCCACTGCTGCAACACATTCTGTGCTTTGGCGCCACAGGTTTTTATATATAATATTGCGTGCCGGGTATGAAGAACACCTGTTTTCGGGCCTTGCAAGACTTGGAATGTTCGGGGACCTTTCCGCAACTTAGTTTCGGGGTCAGGATTGTTGGGCGACCTTCGGGTCTTTGGGATGCGAGACACAGAAGATCTAGTACTCAGAATGCACACTGTATGTGCAGGCTCAGGATCGAAATTCGAACCTAGATCGTTCGCCATAGCGTATTACTTTGTCGGGTCCTGGCTTGCAGCTGCTTAGCTGGGGATGTGCAGTAAGGGCAATTGACAGCTCCTTACCAGTCTTGCGCCCCCGGCTGAGGCTGCCTTAGGCAGCCTCAAGCACAGACAAGTCTAAACTCCTAAACCCGAGGCTAGGCTGATTGGACAAACCTTTCGATGCGGCTGTTCGGAGCACAATTAACGATCCATCCACCCATCCATTCACCTATCCATCCATATGCAGGTGTAATCTTGTAGTAGCCCCACACAACCTTTAGACGAGGCAAGTACCTGTGCAGGTTTGCCATCTGGAGATGCTTGAATAAGTATGATCTGATCCCAAGCAATGATAAACCTATCATACCCATTTGTCATGCTGGGAACGACGCTTGCTTCACGGAAGATGGGTAGTAGGACTTGAGAGCACAAGACCAAGACGGAATGCTATCTAATGACGTGGGACAAGGTCGTTCCAGCCTCTGGCCTTGGCATCATCGGTGGCGGCACGCATCCCTAGATTCGGATTGACTTAGCCGGCCGCAGCAGCGTTGTAGGCCTGCTTTTGGGCATTGATGCAGGGTCTTAGCTTACTGATAGGTTTTGTGGGTTCAGGGACAAACATGTCCCCGGCAGCTGCATGTTTTGCTGGTTAAACAGCCATAATAAAGCGAGTCACGACCATGTTCAAAACTATGGAGTTTTCAAAGGCCCGCATCCTTGCCCTCTGACAGCTGGATAGTTGGCCTGTTCTGTCATGCGTGGGTTCGAGGCTGGGTTCGAGGCTTCGGATCTTCAACAACCAGAGTGATCAAACAGTATGGTATATTGTAACGCAAGGCAGGGTTTCCCGACTTTTGATTCCAGTTTCTATGGGGATCTTCGCAATGAAAGACTTTGTGCCAAGTTGCCGAAAGAAACTTTATGGGACATAAGCACGGAATAGTTCGACGTGTGTTTGTTTAGAAAGTTGGTTGACGGCCATTTGGGATCAACGCGGTCTTTGGTTTGGGGGTGCATGTCGAGGTTAGGGTCTATAGGGCCAAGGGTATGTGGTCAGGGTTTGGTGGGGGGTCCTGACTGTTTGAGGGAAGGAAAAGGGCTGCAATCGGCAGAATGCATCATCAATCAGCGCTGAATGTACGCGAGGGCAGGACTAGCAAGGCTTGAGAAAATTCGAATGAGCTGTACGACCCTGCCCCCATCTCAAAATCGCATGAGCCTGGTTTTTGCTCGTTTCTAGGCTTTGCCGTCCTTTGATTCTCAGCGGTAGCGATTTCAGGAGTGAAGAATCTGACTGGGGCTTTGCTCCCGAACAGCCGGAAGAAGCTGCCTGAGGCCCCTGCGGAGCGGCTTGTTCGAGTTCGAGCGCAAGCTCAGGCACTCCAGTGCTTCTTTGCCAAGCTCCAGCGAGCGTGCATGCATATATACATGGGTACCTACACACGCCTAGACATGTATCGGCATGTACATGATCATGCATTGTGTGTGTGTGTGTATAAGTGTGTTGGTATATGTAAACTTTTATGTAAATGGGCATTGATGTGGGGTCTTAGCTTACTGATAGGTTTTGTGGGTTCAGGGACAAACATGTCCCTGGCAGCTGCATGTTTTGCTGGTTAAACAGCCATAATAAAGCGAGTCACGACCATGTTCAAAACTATGGAGTTTTCAAAGGCCCGCATCCTTGCCCTCTGACAGCTGGATAGTTGGCCTGTTCTGTCATGCGTGGGTTCGAGGCTGGGTTCGAGGCTTCGGATCTTCAACAACCAGAGTGATCAAACAGTATGGTATATTGTAACGCAAGGCAGGGTTTCCCGACTTTTGATTCCAGTTTCTATGGGGATCTTCGCAATGAAAGACTTTGTGCCAAGTTGCCGAAAGAAACTTTATGGGACATAAGCACGGAATAGTTCCACGTGTGTTTGTTTAGAAAGTTGGTTGACGGCCATTTGGGATCAACGCGGTCTTTGGTTTGGGGGTGCATGTCGAGGTTAGGGTCTATAGGGCCAAGGGTATGTGGTCAGGGTTTGGTGGGGGGTCCTGACTGTTTGAGGGAAGGAAAAGGGCTGCAATCGGCAGAATGCATCATCAATCAGCGCTGAATGTACGCGAGGGCAGGACAAGGAAGGCTTTAGAAAATTCGAATGAGCTGTACGACCCTGCGACCATCTCAAAATCGCATGAGCCTGGTTTTTGCTCGTTTCTAGGCTTTGCCGTCCTTTGATTCTCAGCGGTAGCGATTTCAGGAGTGAAGAATCTGACTGGGGCTTTGCTCCCGAACAGCCGGAAGAAGCTGCCTGAGGCCCCTGCGGAGCGGCTTGTTCGAGTTCGAGCGCAAGCTCAGGCACTCCAGTGCTTCTTTGCCAAGCTCCAGCGAGCGTGCATGCATATATACATGGGTACCTACACACGCCTAGACATGTATCGGCATGTACATGATCATGCATTGTGTGTGTGTATAAGTGTGTTGGTATATGTAAACTTTTATGTAAATGGGCATTGATGTGCGGTCTTAGCTTACTGATAGGTTTTGTGGGTTCAGGGACAAACATGTCCCTGGCAGCTGCATGTTTTGCTGGTTAAACAACCATAATAAAGCGAGTCACGACCATGTTCAACACTATGGAGTTTTCAAAGGCCCGCATCCTTGCCCTCTGACAGCTGGATAGTTGGCCTGTTCTATCATGCGTAGGTTCGAGGCTGGGTTCGAGGCTTCGGATCTTAAAGATGCAGAACAGAATTCAACATGGAGGGCCGGGCACCGCTGTTTGGTCAATAAGCGGCGCGATTTCATCCCACACGTTTGAACTCTTCAGATGCCACCACGAGTCTAGAGTCTGAAGGGGTCGTTGACCTCCTTTCCCGTAGACAAAGGACAAACATATCTCGAGCAGTTCTCGATCTCTGGAGAGGTAGGGCACAGGACTGCGCCGGAGAGCTTGATTCCCAGTTGAAACGCGGAGTGCAAAAGAAGATGATCAGGTTGGACACCGTTCAACCGCTCCATCTGCAGGACCCCCACCAGGCTCGCGGATTAGTCGGGCAGCATCTTACAGCTGGTGAGATCCTAAAGCATCCCAGTTGGCAGGTCTCCTGAAGAACTAGCGCTCGAAGCAGGGGCCGCCGTCTTTGCGGCCACGGGGTCGTCGCCAGCTCAGCCAACCAGCCAGATCCACATGTGTTTGCAGCATTCTTTCGAAACGCACAGATTCGTTTTGCAGGGTTGCAAGACAATCGCACACACCTTCAAATGTAACGGAACAAATCCATGCGTCACGGTAGTGGCCCAGAACAACGTAGAAGCGCCTCTCCTGTATGGCTTCGGAACGATATGTTTCCAAACCGTGTCCGGATACCAAAGTGCTTGCCCGACCTTCCCCGTATATCGGTGTGTCAGAACGGAACGTATCCACAGGGTCTGGGGTCACTCATAAGTGAGCGTATGCAGATGCAACCTTTCGGACACATGTGGTACAGGAGACAATTTAAAGTCGACGTAGCCGCAACGTGTCATTGGCCAGACCCGATCCTCTGGACCAGACTTGCTGGTGCGGTCTTCGACGTGATTCTTGATTTCTTATGTAGATCGTTCACATGCACGTCGTATGTGGGCAGCTGGCTGCCGCAATGGTAGTGTCCGTTCTTTGCCATACCATTGTTTTGCTATCGGGGGCTTCCGGGAAAACCCACCCAGGATCAGCGAAGCCTGGCGGGCCCTGGAAGATGCAGGCCCCAGTGTCGCACGGTCTTGTACCGGGTCGGTGTCGGCGACTAGCTTGCTTACCAGGCCAACAGCTGGGTCTCGACAAGGGCACCCTGGCGCAGCTGAAAGCTGCCCTAACAGGGGCTCTATGAGGCATCTATTGTTCCTGGCATCGTTGCTCTGCATTTATGTAAGGTATAAGGAACAATGTTAAAATTCCACAATCCAGGGTGCATTTGCGGCTCTGCAGGATCTTCGCATTATGTTCATGTGAGCCTCGGTGATTCGCGCAAGCCAACCTCAAGAGATCGATCTAGTCTCCCTGGTCCGAGAGCGTGGCATAAAGCATGGTAAAGCTTGAACTGCTTAAATTGTCGGATCGCACGAGGGTTTCAAGCAGGCTGTCGTTGGTAGCGTTGCACTGCCTACATAAGGAAAGCGTTCCAAACCTTCGCGCAGGGAAGCCGGCCAAGGCCTGACCCAGCTTGTTGATCCCGGTGTTAGCGCAGGCCTCGGGCGAAATGGTCGCAGAAGTGAAGAGGCCTGTTGCACTCTTGCAGCGTCGATGCAAGAGAAGAAGCCCTAGGCTGGTCGAGCGAAGACACCTGTGCAGATTTCCGAGTGGGACTCCTTGGGCTTCTGGGAGATGGGGCTTGTGATAACCGGCGCAATTTGGAAGGGATTCTCGCCAATTCCGCAACCAGTAGTCTTTGCGACAGAATTGACCCCGTGTCAGCCAAATCTGAGATCCCAGCAAGCCCTTTGGGATTGATCGCTTTGGGACATCGCAACGAAGAAACCTTTCCAAATGCTCCAGTTCTCAAGCATAAGCCTCACCCAAAAGCTTTCAATCTACCGTTCTTGAATGTTAAAGTTGATTTTGTTTTTGTCGCTGTGCTGTGATCAAGGTTCAATTGCAAGCAGAGTAGAGAACTGTCTTGTGTGGGTCAGTGTCGGCTGATGTCGGCTGAGTCATCTTCCGAGTTTTAAGCTCCCTAAGCTTCAAAGTTGGAGGGCTTTCCAGCGATGCACAGCGCTGCTCCAAACTTCGGCTTTTCGAAATATTCATGTTCCCTTCACCTTCGCAACCCGGGTGAGAAAAGGTAAACAACAGCCAAGGAAGCGAGTCACAAACATGCTGTGCCCACCCCACTCACTGGGTACCATCACAGAGAAAGATGGCCCCTGGTGAGTGGACGCGCCTGCCCTAAGGGTTGCAGGCATGTCACTGATCACACCCCCCTGTTCGGCGAGGGAGGTGCGCAGTCGCCGAAGCAACTGCGATCAGTGACGGCCCCCTCCACATCCACCAGAAGCGCGGGCTGACTACTCAACCCACGCCGCTGAGGCAGGAGAGCGCCAAAGGAGAGGCACAAGAAACACACAGCACAGAGCAGGCAGAGCGGAAGCAAGCGAGGCGAAGCGAAGCGAAGCGAGCGACGAAGCGAGCAACACGGGGATATTCAAGGTCCACCCGAAGCAGGACCCGCGAGCGAAGCCGGGGATATTTAAGGTCCACCCAAAGCAGGACCAGCGAGGGAAGCCGGGGATTTTTAAGGTCCACCCGAAGCAGGACCAGCGAGCGAAGCGAAGCGAAGTGGTCTCACAGCAGCAGCTGGCAAAGCTGCGGCTGATAACCTGAGAAAAGGTAAACAACAGCCAAGGAAGCGAGTCACAAACATGCTGTGCCCACCCCACTCACTGGGTACCATCACAGAGAAGGTTGGCCCCTGGTGAGTGGACGCGCCTGCCCTAAAGGCTGCAGGCATGTCACTGATCACACCGGGTAATAATGTTGCGACGGCTGGAAGAGGCCCAAGCACGACCGCTACACAACAAGCTTCGCACATGTGTTTCTGAGCGAACGAACATGGTATCAGAAAAATCAGTAGACATGATTGGGTACTGAGGATGCTGCAAGTATTGAAATGAAATTTCCAGAAGACAGCTCAACCTCATGCCGTGTTTTTGGACGACTGCAGTCTGGGCTGCGGAGCTGCAGGGGGTCAACTTCATGTTAAGTTGTCCCAACAAACAGCACCCAAATTTGTCCAGCCCAGTATAAGCTTCAAGCTATCATCCGCACACTTGCTGGAGCAGGCACCATACTCCTATCACTGGTTGCCTTACGCAAACAAGCCAGAGCATTCACCCTCGCATTCCTCAGCCGCAAAAGAAAATAATGTAAACGCCCTCAATGCAACACGTGCGTGCACTAGAAGGCTTGAGGGGATGCAAAAGAAGGTTGGGTTCGCAGACCATGGAAATTTGAAAAGACGGTACGTAGCAGATCGTCAGAGGACTACGTACATAAAGACGCAGGGATTGTTGGGGTTCAGGGTTCTCGGGCTCAACAGGATTTATGTGGGAGTTCTTGCCGTTGGCATTGAGCTTGAACCTTCGTCACGAGAAATGTAGGGCCTTAGCTGCTTCTTCGCTTGCGGAATTCATGAATGTCACACTACCGCTATTGCTGCTACGGGCACTGGTACAAACGCAAGGACTCATTCTAGTAGTCACTTCGCAGGTCGTGCTTCCTTTGGGAACTGGGACCGCGACGTGTGTCTGCAACATCTTGGGAAAATGCTGGATGTGGTGATTGGTTCAGCTTCGTGAGGGTTTGTGGCAAAGCCGAGACACCCCTGCGGTGGTCAGCTCAGTTTTCGTGAGACTTCAGGAACTTCCCTTCATGTCCGAAGGTACTGAATTAGCGGCTTCGTTTGCAACCGTCGACTTCTGCTCGGGGTGTTCGGCGCGCAGTTTAACCTGGGCTCAAAGACATGGACTGATGCATCGAACGATGTGCTTCTTCTGCAAGTCATGACCAGGCCACGCTTGAAGATCCAGCAACCAAGCTTGAAAGCGAAACCCAGTTACAGACCCCCAACTCTTCGAAATACTACGATTGAAAAAGGGGAGCAAGTCCGGTTGCCTCTTGCCTTTATGGGGACCACAGATTCACCCCGGCGAGCCGCAGCACTGTGGCCGGAAAGCCAAGAGGCTGCATGACGCATGCCTGAGGCTCAGATACACCGGCTTATCTCTTCTAGACGTGTCGCTGACCGGTCTCCTCTTTTGATGCATCACTGGACTGTATTGTCATGGGTACACCGCACACATATGGGGCGGTACGAAGTATGACGCAGTGCAAATCTTGAGGAGGCGTGTGTATTTTGCAGAATTCACGGTGTATTGTCAATCTGTTGCACTACTGCTGTAACAACTTAAGCATTGTGACGTGTACTCGAGTTTACCAAGTGCATGTTACATGAAAACTTGCGCCGTGGAGTATCGAATGTCTGCATGCCAAGAGTCTTGTGGTGTACTTCAGCATCTTGCGCCACGATACAGAGCATAATTTGCTTGTCTGCTTCACGTTTCATTTTTCATGTTTTCGTACATGGTTTGATACTACTAGATCAGAGTAGGCTCGCGTGACGCTGTGACGACACCGCATCGGCCCTTCTGCATTGAAAGGTTGTGTTCGACTCGATCTGTATGCTCCATGCGATGCTTTCGTCCGCCATTTTGCTACTATGGCCGGATGACAGGGAGAAGCCTGCACCACCTCCGCAAATCGCTGTCGCCCCACCGCCTCCACCGCAGGGCAGCGCAGAGGCCTGCTGGTGTTGCTTTCTGCTGTCGTTTCATGAATGTTAAGGTTGAGTTGTTGGGTTGATTAGCAATACGTAGATGGTTTAGGGGTTCTTTGTCTCCAGGTGTCGTCTTCTCTCAGAGGAAGTTATGCACCAATCTTCCGTCACCGTGAGCGTCTCTGCCACTCTTCCAGGCTTCGCGGCTCTGGTTTTCACATAGGATACGAGTATCGGCCGAAAGGTAGAGGAGGTGATCGCAAGGATGATGGAATCAGAAACCGTGCTCGGAGAGCTCTCTGGTGAGTCTAGTGTGATGAGCTTTGTACTCATCCCTCCCCCGTGTCCACTTCGATTTCAGGCGAGTTGTGCTCCTGCAAACCCGTGGTGTCAATGACATGTGAGCCGAAGCAAGATGCGAGATCGAGCAGCCATGTACCTGCTGTAAACCCAAAACCCGAGAAAGCTCAACAAGATTCGCGACAAGGCTCTTCGTGCCCGGCGGCAGCTTGCAGACATCGTGCGGAACAATGCCGAGGTATCATCGCTGAACGCACAGACATTGCGTTTTGTCCATTGTGAGGGACAGGTTTGCGCCTGAACTTTGGCAGGTCATGCTGGCCCTGCAGCTGCGAAAGAACACTGATGATCGTGCCATTGTCAGGGTGCGGCATGTGAGTTGAAGCCAAAGGGAACCCCTAGAGTGGAGTTCAGCTCAAAGTTACCACCGCTGATCCTGGTAACCTTAAGCCCGAACCTCGAAGCCCAAGCGACCGGGGTGGGAATGCTGCAGGCGCTGGCCAAAGTGCGAGATCTTTTTGAGCTGCTCAGGCCAGGGCTGCAGCTTTCATAGGGAGATTCAGAAAACTCACGGATTGAGACAAGGACGCCATGCAGCAGGACAATCACAATAAGAGCCCCGGAATAGTCGCCCCGCGTTGGCCAGTGCTACACCAAGAAACTACAGGGTTTGGATGTATATATATATATATATATATGTATATATCTATATATATAAACATTAACTAATGTATATATATATATATAATAATAATAATAATAATAATAATAAAATTATTATTATTACTGTTAGTATTATTATTACTATTATTATTATTACTATTATTATTATTATTATTACTATTATTAGTATTATTACTATTATTATTATTATTACTATTAGTATTATTATTAGTACATTTTTTACATTACATATTAATTATATATATAGGTTTATATTATACTACATATGATATATTGTATATCATATATTATACATTATATTTTATGTGGTATAATATATATATATAATTATATATATATATATATAATTATATATATATATATATATATATATATATATATATATATATATATATATATATATAATTATATATATATACACATACATATATACACATACACATATATATATATATATGCATCATATCATATTACATGATATTGCACTATGCTATACTATATTATGTTATATTATAGGGACGGGGGCTCTGGCGGAACATGATTTGTGGAGCACGATTGGCACCTTTGGAACATTCCATAGCCCTTCAGAACGGGTTCGAATGTCAAACATTGGATCCCCGAAGAGAAGAGGTGTGGCCCTGTCAAGACTTTAGCGACTTCGAGTGATCTCAAGACTAGCATTCGCAGACGGCCTTGGTTGGAGCACGATTTCCATCAGCTAACATCCGCCCCCCGGAACAAGAAATGAAGTTCCCTTCGAACACCGAATAGAGTATCAGATCACATGAGGTCTGTCTCTAACGAAACACCAGTCCCTGACATTAAGCGGCAGCTGCACGAAGCGCAAATCTAAATTGGGCATTGCAATCTGATCTCATGTTTTTGAAATACCAGGTTCCGAGAATACCACCATGCTGAGAACTAGTCCGACAGTCGAACACATCACAGGCCAGAGCATTGACATCCCCCAACAGACTTTCAATCAAAACGTCCACAGCTGGTCAGATGTAAGGGTTGCGGGATGGACTAGAGACTTGCTGCTAGTCTTGTGCGTAAGAGTGAAAAGATGCCGGCAGGTTCACATAAACGCACAGCGAAACGATCGGCCGATGGTGTGTGTCCTCTGCTCGTTTCGCAATTCATGGGTCTTTCGGAGACGGCCGGTATGTCGAAGTGCCAGAAGCGAAGACACTACTGGCTGTAAGTCCCACTGGCGCCAAGCCGCGGCATCTGCATTCCACGCTGCTTTCAGGCAAGCAGGCTGCACCATCGTGCAGGCGACTCGCGCAGAGGAGTTGATGGAGCTGGCCATTGAGGCGAGCATTCGTGCTTTCTGCCCTGAAGCCTTCACAAGCCGGGCTTCTGCTGGGCAGGCTCCTGATGTGAAGCCTCCAAAGCGGAGTCGAGCTCGCTACTTCTACTGTGCCGCAGGCACGAGTGAGTGAAGATGGTTTTGTTTCCGTGGCTGAGTTTGGACGTATTTGAACCAAAACGGAATGCTGAAGGCGTCATTGTGTTTGTGATTTTTCTGCTCGTGGCAATTATCGCCTGGCACCTAGAGACCTACAGTGCAGTGCAGCCTGCAGCCTCCTGTAGACACCGTGGCAGACCAGGGCACCTTCTTCGCTTCTTGAACTTAGACCCTCCGTCCTTTAACTGTTGAAGAAAGCGAGGCTCTGGAGGTGTCGCAAGCATCTCAAGGTTGGGAGGCCTCGGGGACCTGGAAGCAGGGCATCCGTCTCTAGACTCGTGCCTTTGCCTCGTGATCAGGTGGGAACATGCAGCATGACGCTTTTTCACAACCAGACCTGCTTTCAGGCTTTCACTATGCACGCTGTGTATAATGTGGCAGTCAGCTTGAATGAGATTTCCCGCATCTCCGCCTGAGCCCTTTCGGCTCTGAGGGTCCAGACATGTGTGATCATGTTCTTATGCTTGCCTTGCGTGTCACGGATCCATGACGTCTCTTGCGTCTGCCTTCTTAGGAGTGGGATTTGTTAATCTTGGTGTCGCCAGTGTGAAGTAAGGCGCTCAATCACCGTTGCTATTCGTGCTGCTCCGTTTCGTTGCTACGGCTGTTGATACTGTTCATGCTCCAGGCATTCATCTTGGCATGCTGCTTTCAGTTATTGGCGTGCATGTAATCTGCTATAGTGATGAACCTTACGTTCATACACGGTTATTGCAGTCGCAGCGCCGTAGTGGTTCTTGAAAGATAGTCGCCGCTCTTTGTTTCCGTTAGACTTTCCTTCTTGTTCTAGGTAAAGCACATGGGTTACTTCTGGATTTTCTTTGGCATAACTCTGGCTCCGGCTCTTCGTCCTCGTGCTCGGTCTGTTTTTGAACTGTGGTTCGTGCTTTTGGGCGCTGCCACTCGGGTTGCACTCTGTGGGGTTTTGGGGCCGTGTGAGGGGTCAAAAGCGACTCTTTGATCCTGTGGTCTGCAGCAACTCGACCAAGTCGCACCTTCGGACTCGCTCTTCGAACTCTTTCGTCGCAAATCGTGGCAAATGTCGCTGAACACTTGAATCCTGAAACAATCCAGTCTCTGAGGATCTTGTTTGTTTTCTTTGCTGTCTTGTGATAACATGGTAGTCTTGTAGTACTGCAGCCTTGCAGAGATGTTTTCATGTAGCATCATGCTTGCAGTGCAGTTGCGCGGGTCGTGTTTTCCAGTCGCAGATTCTGAAGGCCTAGACCCCACTCCAACACCAAACGAACGAACACAGTCACTGAACATACTCAACTCTAGACTCCCTAGACACGCATCCGAAACCTTGCATCATGCATTCCGCGAGAGTGATGGCAGAAGCTGAACTGCAGCTTCCTTTCCTGAGCCATGTCTGGCAATGTGCCCAGACCCCTCTGGAGCGGCGTGGTGATTTCTTCCCTGGCTGGGCCGTTGAACTGAATACTTTCGCCCCAGGCCGACAGGAAGAGAATCGACATATATGAACATGACATGAAAGGAGTGAAAGCATGTCTAAAGCAATATTTGCCTCACTTTTTGCAGTTGGTCATGCAGAGCAGGAAGTCATAGACTGACATAAGACATCTGAACCTAGTGGGTGGAGCAGCACCGCCCTAGGGTGGCCACGTGTTGCTCCATGTCATCCTTTGCCACTCCCGTAATGGAGAGGTGATGTGGTGTTCCTGGACACCGGTTCCACTGCCCGACACCACCATGCGGTCGTGGTCTCTTGTCCGGAGGAGTCTGGTGCGTTGGCTGCAAGTAGAATCTTCCCTGCATGCAGCCTTAATGGAACCTATACTTGTTTTGTGGAGCGGCAAAGACATTTTGTGGCAGCTGTCAAGGTGTGATTCGCCCTGCTCTGCGGCACGACGAGCTTGTCGTTGGCTTATCCAGGCGCACCTCCGTGCCGCAGCAGCTCGCTCTGCACACCAGCTGTGCTTTCCCTCCTTTCAAGGTCCTCTTTGCCATGTGTTATGTTCCTAGTGAATTCAGTCGCATCGGGCGTTAGTCTGTTTGAAGGGTCTTTGGTACCTACCGGTGGTTTGTTTCATAATTCTAGTCTCCAGCCGTCTTTGTTGCTACCGGAGTCCTTTTTGCAATAAGGCAGGACTGTGAAGTTGCCCTTCAGATTGATGGTCTCCTGGTTCATGTGCCGTGTCGGCGCTTGGTTCGTGTCCTACCCCCACCCCGTGTGCTGGTTGTCCATGACACCTTCAGCTACCGGCGGCTGGCACGAACTCAAGCGGGACAGGCGGGGCTCTCGCGAATCTCCGCACCCTAGAGCCTGATTTATCTGGTGGAGGGTTCCGTGGCAGGATGATGGAGTGCTGGAGTTAGGCTCCTCACTTGGTGAGCCTCGTCCGCAGCAGCAGAAGCTTCATTGGAATGATGGAAGTTGTGCGTAGAAGTATAGACTCTAACATGCAAAGTTGCCCCGTCCATACTAGACCTGGATCCCCAACCCTAAACCTTGAACCCAAAAAGCTACGGGCAGCCCACACAAGAAATTCCCTGGCAGCGAACAGCAGATGGATCGAAATATCCATACGAGCCAAACCCGAATGCCCTCAACTCTATCCGGTCCGCGCACGTTACTGTAACATGTTTTGGGATAGTTTTTTGATCTCAGATCTTCTGGTGTACGAGAGAACGTTCCCGCAAGTTCGCGCCGTTCACAGCGTGTGACAGTGTGACTTGAATGTCTGCTGGAGCTGTGAGGAGTGCACCCGCATCCTGTCTTCTCGTGCCGCGGCCGTGATCGGCATCGACGTCAGTCAAGAACTGGTGGAGGAAGTCGACATGCGTTAGCCCTGTGTCCGTAGAATAAACACAGGGCCGGGCTTGAGAGTTCTTCTCAACGACTTTACCACACATTCCGCAAGGAGAGCAGCCGGCGCTATCCCGACTGCCGTTTTGAATGGCTGGACTGCTTCCAGGAGCAAGCACGCTTCGCAGCATTGTGCGCGGAGTCGCTTGAACCATTCGACTTACGGAAACGCGTTTGTTTCTCTCTGAGGGCTATCTAGGGTTCTCTTTCACATGGGGTTTGCACGGTGGTTTCGTGAGGCTTGTGGAAGCAGGTAGCGGCAGGCTGAAGATCTTTGTGGACATTGGTGGCGACCGCGCGACGAGCGACATTTGCTGCCTGCTGTCTTTTTTGGAGCAGGTGCTGAACACTCTCCATCCGAAGCAGCCGTCTGCCTTGGTGGTGGTCAAGTCCAAAGCTCTGGCCACTGCCGCGGCCGAAGCCGCTGGCGCCGACGGGACCATCCCAGAGCCACGGTTGCGGCCCTGGCTCGAAGGAATAGCCAGGAAGCAGCCGGCCAGCTCCAAGCAACTGAAGAAGAAGCTGGCGCGGGCTCGCAAGGCGCAGTGGCAGCAGGCGGACGATACCACGTGGCAGGACTGATCCGATGACGAGCTCTTGCACTTGCGGTGGCTCACGTGTAAGACCCGTGTTTCGCTGCCGGGAGGCTTTCGAGAAGCAGCGGACTGAATGGGACGCCCTCTGCAACGAGGACCTCTCCGAGTCCCTCCGTTTACTTCAAACAGCGTCGACGACGTAAAAGGGGAGGGAAGGGAGGAGTCCGGGCTCCGCTTTACTGTTGCCTTGCGAAACTACTGGGGAGAAGTGTGAGATGGAAGGAGCAAGCGCGCCTGAAAAGCGAGCTCCGCCAGCTGAAGCAGGAGCATCCCGAGGCCTCGTCTGCTGTTGACTGCTTTTTGGATGTGGATGATTTTGAATTGAAGGCATGGGGCGAGACGCTGAATACTTTCCTCGCAGAGCGGCTGGGGAACGATTCAAAAAGTTGTCCCGTGCTGCCCATCTGCTGTGAGTGTGTGCCTGTCAGTTCTCGGGCTGAAAACTGCAGGAGATGGGGAGATGTTTCGTGGAAGTGCGGGCCTCCGATGCTTGGCGCTCCCGGGGCTTTTCTTCCCTTCCTTAGCCCCCTTTTGAGGTCGCCGTCCGCAGTGGGACCTTGCCAGGGTCTCAGAGCCCAGCGGCAGAGAAAAGGCTCCGGAAGCACTGAAAGCTGAGTTTCGGCTCGAAGAACCCATGGGCTTTGCCCATCGCCTGTGCCTGAGTCGCCTCCGCGTGCCCCACGACTCTGTGACCACGCGGTGTTCTTCACCTAAGGTCCATGTCGGAGGTCGTGGTGAGATTGCCCGGTACCAAGGCATGCGGATCCAGAGTTCAGAGTTCCATTTCATTAAATCCACCGAAATCGCCAGCGTCTTAGGCTTCCCGAACCCCTCCGTATCCACAACCCTGAGAAACCTGTGAAGCCTCCCCAACCAAGTCCCTAAGCTCCAATCCTGGGAGGAGATGCCTTCCGTTGCTGCAACGACATGGAGGCACCGCTGGCGTCCAGATCCCATCTAACTCTTCTAGCCAGAACGCTGCCAGGAAGGTTGTTCGCAATCCGATAGAGCAGGCATGATGTTGTAAATCAAGACAGCTCGCACTAGCATTTCTGCTGGATTGTGCGTTGCGGGCGGTATACGGTATACTCGTCGACAGCCAGATAAGCTCTAGCGGCAGCGATGCTCCAACATGTCCAATTTACGAAGTTCCTCATTCAACAGAATCGGGTCATTATACAGTGCTACGAACTTGGTTGACAGGGCTACGTGGGCAGCTGCTGTGATCTCGTGGCTGGTGGTGTCAGTGCGCTCGCTGCTCAGTGGGCTGGGGCTAGGCGGCGAAGGCCTCGTGCTTCAGGACCCGTACTAAGGGCGCAGGAGCAAATCTAGGGCAGCAGCTTTGACTCCTGAGTGTGCTAGAGATTGCTAGAGCAAGCTTCAAGGTTGTTCAAGGTTTCCCGCTAGTGGTATTGTTCTTTGCTGCCGCAAAGGCAGTGCTTGTCACAGCTCCCTAAGCTCTGCCAGTTGGCTTTTCTATTGAAATAAGGAGATCATGCTTCGACGCATGCCAAGAGAGATCAGCGGCCAGATAGTCCCAAAAAAGCTGCCATAGCGACCCACACTGAACTTGTATTCTGTCGTCGAGTCCAGCACGGAAGTTGCACGTGACGTGTTTCCCCTATTTGGGCTGACCGTTTGTCGGTCCAGATGGGTTTGCATTCGCACGGAGCCACGGGCATCTGAGAGATCAACGCTGCCCCCCCCAGGCAGCTGGCAGAGCCGGAGCCCCAGCCGATCTCCTTCTCTTCCACGACCACCACCTACGATTACTTGCTTTTGTCGTTGTCATAGTGGCAGTCGTAGCAGTGGCCGCCGTCGTCATCTGCATTGGGGAGCCTTCCTCCTTTAACATTGCCCCGAGTCTGAATCTCGAAGCCGGGACTGAGGACTTTCTGTGATGCTTGGGGCATACTGGGCCGCACCGATCACATGGGTGAAAGGTGCCTTGCTCCACTTCTTGTCCGGAGCCGGAAGCAACGATGCAAAACCCAGCTTGGGCTTCGGGGTTCGCAGCACACATAGAAGCTCTTGGAGTGGCTGTCTGTCTGTTGATTTTTGTATGTAGGAATCCAGATGCCAGCTGGACCGCATAATCTGTCATATATGTGTATGGAGTTAGAGGCTGTAAGCACGAGAATACTTGCGAATGTAAATGCAAAGGACATGCTGCATAATGTCGAGGTGCCCCTCTGGTGTATGGCCGTGCCTCTTCACTGCACCGGCCTCGTCCTGCTTGCACCACACTGGCTTTTGGTGCAGGGTCGCAGTGGTCCGAGGTAGATTATGAAACAGAGACGGTGGACGAGCTGATGTACTTCAGTCAACCAGATGTCTCCGTGTACGTCGGGGCAGCTGCCTGCCAGAACAGTTCAGCTTCCTGCAATCTGTGCCGACCACCTCCACGAAGGATGTAGGTTGCTTCGGGATACTAGAAGCATTGCAGTTCTGAATTGGCACACCGAAGCTCAGATTGCTGTGCTGGTGATGATCCTCGTCGTTGGAGTCGTTGTGCAGCCCACAGCGTCCGCAAAAGCACTGCTCTCTGCACTCGAATGATTTTGACACATCCAAATTCGCAGACTAAGAAGGTGCGCCTGATGCAAATCTTCGATGTCAGGCTGCGATTAAGCCTTGCTCATTCCTTGCAGATATTGGCACATAAATTTTGTGAAGGTGTGACTGTTCCGCGTTGATGCCGGCGCGCCAGGTGCGCTCCTAAATTGGGTCTGAGGTTCAGGGCCAGGTTCCTTGGATGTTCCTTCGCGGGCACTGAGGATGATGACGCAGACTTGTACGACCCTGATGACCCGGCATCCGACTGGGGGCAGGTCGTGCAAGAAGCGGCGCAGGTGACATGCCTGAATGACCCTAAACCTTAAATTGCCCTAAATCCTTAAGGGTTATCCCCAACGGCTTGGATTCGTGTCCCTTAACCGTTAACACTGAACCTTGAATTCATCCCAAACTTCAAACCCTATCCTGAGTCCCTGTCTGAACAACTGAGGAAGAGGCCCGAAAGAAAAGACAAGGGAACTGCAAAGGTTGGATCCAGGAGCGGACAGCATCCGTTCGAGAGAAGTGGCAGCGCGTTTTGAAATGCGTCCGCCGTGGTGGCTTGATTGAACCTAGCAAGGATTCCCAGAAAAGGTCAGTATGGTTCAGTTGCATTGTGTGTTTGTTGATAGCAGAAACGTGGTATGGTCTTGTGATTCTTGTGTACCATGTTTTATTTAGATCATCATCTTGCATGTTCGCATCGTGATGTGGTGTTACATAAGTTGCATCACCAGTTTTCGTTCATGCCACATGAGGTTGCATGCCACCGGCATATTGCTGGGGTGTTGAACGTAGGTTGCATTTCCTCGAAGGCAAGTCGGAAACATGTTGCAGTTTCACAGGCTGCATTGAATCATATCATCTTGCCCTCCTCTTCTTGTTTATGATGCCTTTGGTTGTAGGTTTGTGTTGCGATGTCCGTTAGGTTCGGGGTTCATCTTAATATGCCCTCATGCCACACAGCATAAACATACACACTTATGTTACATACCCATAAGCATACCCAGTGCACCTTTACATGCATGTACATGGGCATTTACATGTACATATACACATATACACGCATACATACATACATACATACATACATACATACAAACGTACATACATACGTAGGCAGATAGATAGCTAGATATAGAGGAATAGATTGACAGACGGACGGATGGATAAGTCGTTAGATCGGTAGATAATCACATAGACAGACAGAGAGATACATACGCAGACACATACAAGAATACGAAGGTACATAGGTACATAGGTACGTGGATACGTAGATACATACCTACCTACATACCTTCCTACCTACCTACACCGACAGACTTACACCTGCATACATACGTACTCACATGCAGTTTTGTGGATTAGCTGCTCTAAGACACTTCGATGCATTGATACACACAACTTCTCACGTGTATGCGTGCATGCATGCGTGCAGGCCTGCATACATGTGTGTAGACGTGAGAAACCGTGAGATGTGGTTCGAAGTTGAACTAAGGAGAAAAGAAACAGCCCGAGTCTCCGGGATCCGCCCGAGGTGACCCTGCGACTAGTGCAATCTGCTTCCTCTGTCTTGGTCTTAGGGCGAAAGAGGCTTGTTTCAGACAGACTTGTTCCAACTAACTCACAGGCAGTGTTCCAAGAATACGGTCAGAATGTAGAGTTCGGCATTTTGGGTGTGGGTGCAGGGTGTAAGGTCTTGACTGGTCTCAGTGGACGCTGCAGCGCAAGGTTCGGGCTGAACGACGTGGGGCGTTGAAGGGCCTGTAGCGGGCGTGCTTTCGGCTGAAGCGCAGGTGAAGCGAAGGTGCGGCGGATGACCTCCAAGTCGAGCCAGGCCAAGATCGCTGTCTTTGGGCATAGGGACGCTCAGGGCTGTTTCGGTGGGTGGGATTCGACGGGTACATGTCTGTTGTCGTGTGTATCTGAGACGGACCTGTGTGGCTATGCAGCAGCAGAGCGGGTACGCATGCATGTATAATTTTTTGCAAGTACATCGCACAGAAGGTTGAATGTCCATGTTCCTATGTTGTTTCCCATACATATAAACATGGCGGTGGATACCATGGGGTTGGGGAAGGAGTGGGGGGCCTCAGGCCCTGTATCACGTTTTTGTGTATTTATATCACTACTCCTGCAGAATGCCTTGCGGCCCCCCCTGTACGGGGGCTCCCGGAAGGCAATAAAATGCCTTCCCACCCCGTGAAATGCCTTGCGACCCCCCCTAATGCCTTGCGCCCCCACCCTTTCGGATGCCCCAGGAAAACTTGTTTTGTGCACCAAGCAGCTGCATCAGCAGGCTTCTTCAGCTGGCTCGCCTCAACCCCAAATTTTAAACCCGACACCCTGTAAGCCCCTAAACCCTAACACCCCTATCCCCTAAACCGTCCCGGTCAGCACACGCCCAACAAAACTCGGATCCCCCGAATCCAACTGCCCCGCCCAAGCCTCCCCCTTCCCGCAAAGCAACCCCCGGTTTTCGGCTTGAGATGGGGGGGTTGCTTCAAGGCAGTTTCGGCACCAATCCCAACCGCCCTGCCCAGCGGGGACGTGGTACCGGCATCGTGTGGTGTGGTGTGTCCGCGACGATCTCCAGAACCGCAATCAGGTTTCGGCATGAGCTCCGAAAAAAAAGAAGGGAAGAGAGCGCGCACTGAGACATGTACCTATTCAGGCATGTGCCTTATCCAGGGACCCAGGTGGGCGGGTGGGGGAAGGCATTCCAATCATACCCAATAATGCCTTGGGTGGGGGGGCGGAGCAGAAATGCCTTTCGAAGTAGTGATGTATTTATGTTTACGTGCATGCGCACGTATGCATATATCATATGCAGGTGATGCATGTCTGCATACATGCATATACAAGTTAGCTGTGTGCAGAAGATCGTCTCTGCTCTTCCAGGGCCGTGGTGCTTCGCAGAGTGTCGTCCGCACCTCCTCCAAGCTGAGCCGCGGGAGCCGCGGCAGCCGCGGGCGCAGCCCTTCCAAGGGCCTCCAGGGCACCGGACGCGCGGAGTCCAAGAGCAGCCGGGGCAGCCGGGGCGCGGACTCCGATGGCAGATCCGACGCTCGGGAGGACGGCGACTCGGAGACCTCAAGTCCCAGTGTGCTCGGGAGTGCTAGTGACGTTGCATGAGGAGGACGAAGACGAGCAGGAGGAGTTGCAGCCCGCGAAGTCCGAGACGCGAAGAGTTTCCGCGACAATCTCAAAGGCCGAAAGCACGAGTTGTTTGCTCATGAGGAAGTTCTTGGAATGTCAATAAAGCTTCTTGCCGATGTCATCGCAAATCTGCTTGCCAGTTGTTCGATTCTACATGTGATGTATTATGATGTAACTATACTCAATAATCGCATATCACGCATTACGCTCCATCGCCCCGGATTGGCAGGAGGTTCCGGAAGTCTTCGAGGAGGTTCGGGCAGTTCCTAGGGCGTGAATCGATGTCACGAAGAGAAAGCAGGAGAAGAGAGCGACGGCGGCTTGCTTCCCGCATGGGCCGCAGTGCAGTAAACCGCAGCATGATTCCATGCAGACTGCCGGGACAGTTCGGGCTGGCCTACAGGGCATTGACGTGACGTCTTCTGCAGGCTTCCACCCCCCCTCCCCCTAAATCCTCGCTTTCTTCGACCTCTCTGGCTCAGGCCTGGTTTTGTTTGGCACAGGGACGGCGCGGACCCCACACTTGTCGACAACCTAGAGGTCGCCTCCTGAGGTGTCTTTGCGAGCTTGCCAGCTTCTAGCTCTTCAGTGGTGTGTCGTGGCTAAGAAATACCTCAAGTGGGAGGCCACGGGGAAGGACTGATTTTCTCTGCGGGTCCTGATGTCAGTCCCTGCAGTCTCTGGGTTTCGGAGTGGTAGTGTCAGGAGCTCGAGGACGTCGAAGAGCGTGACATTCATCCGGGCTTCCACGCAGGCGGCGGGCTCCGGGCAGTGTCAAGTCGGCGGGACCCCAAAAGTATGCCAAAGCATGCTTTGAAGCACTTCAGGCAGAGGCTATGCTTCGCTTGAACCTGTAAGAGACCCTGAGCATGCCTCGCAGAATCTTGGGGTATTGAGGGAATTCTGATTGCAATATCAAGCAACACCAGGGGCCGAGGTGCCCCAAAGAAATATTGAAGCCTCATGCTGTGGAGGGATTTTTCTCGAGGCTTGAAGCCAAATCCCAAACCTTCGGTTGCACGTGGGCTCTGGGGATCCCTTCAAAATGCCTTCGCGACAATCTCAAACTCCGCCGAAGCCTCAAATCGTCCGCCGAAGAAGCGCCTGGGCAGGAAATCTGAAGGGCATGGCCCGGCTTGCGCGGCAGCAGCACCAGTCGCTCCTCCTCCCGATCGTGGAGCCTGGGGGCCTGGAACCTCCATCGCCATTGGCGGAAGGTTGGTGTCCACAAGACTGCTAGTTGTCATTGCGAGGACTATGTAAGCTCATGTTGGCTGTGTTCATCATACCAGAACTGGCAATGGCATCAGTGTCACATCAAGTGGTAGACAGCAGCGGCAGCGTCGAGTTCAGAGGTTGCATAGCCTGTAACCTCAATACAGTGGAGGGTTTGACAAAATTCAACTGCGACTTCATTCGGACATGCTCTCCAATGTCCTTTCAGGAGAGTTGGAGTTCTCCGACTGTGGAAGACTGATAGCTTCAGTAGTGTCAGAAAACGTTGGTATTGAAGTCCCCTGAGTGAAATACTCACAATGTCCCCGATCTGCCGGTACAGGAGACGTAATCGAACAGAGGCACGCGCAACAATATTTTTGTAGCAGCGATGCTGCAAAACGTTGTCTGTTTCTCTTCTTCTAAGGCCGATGACAGGGCGCTCGGCGTCTTGGTTGCATAGGCTTGAGGGCAGTGTTTGGAACTGTGCCTTCTCGCTTTCTCATGGCAGTTTTCATGCCAATGTAAACACTATGTTGTTTTGCACAGCACAGTAGGACTCTCTGCTCATGTATGCACGCGTGTCGTGACTTGGACTTCATTTGTTTAGACCCTTAGTTAGAGCTGTTTAGCTCAGGCGAAATCGCACTCCTACTCTGCCGACACCCTCTACTACTCCTGCAGCACATTGCGGGAGAGCCGGCGCAAGAAACGAAAGCGCGGGGCCATTAAGGGCCCAGGAGGGAAGCAGACGGCCCGGGCCCTGGCAGTCTTAGATCTTTCTGACCTCTTGTGTGACAAGCCTGACCCTGTTGAAGCGTCGCGTTGCCAGGCCAGCAGGTTCTGTTTGTCACCACCGGTGCGATTTTCATCTAGGGCGACTTCGTGGCCTCCCCCCAGGTTATCCCATGTTCCGGTCTCCCGTCATCTCATTTTCCAACAGTCCCCGCGTTTCGGTGCTGGTGCTTCCCTGGTCATCCGATGTCATGGTGTCTCCGGTCGTGGTTACTCCTCATACTCTGACACCCACTCTTTTCCCTACACCTACTCCTCTCGGCCCACTCCTACCCAAACGCCTACTCCTACCCCTGCCTTTACCAATGCCACTCCTAGTCGTACTCCTACTCGTATTCCTGCCGCTCCTACCCCCACTCCTACTGGCAAGGCGAGATAACCGCCGCACAGCACGACTAATGGTAGCCACGCAAGTCTTCAACCCCTTCTTTATGGCGTATGGCCTGGATAGCAAGAATAGTGTTGTCGCTGTCGCAGATTCAAGCCGATTCAAGTTTCATGTCCTGTAGCATTGCAAGGCACGGAGTCTGGAGACGCCTCAGAAATGGAGTTGGGCCACGCAGGAGCGCCACATGCGAACATGATCTCCACGCGTAAAGAAACGGGTCCCCAAGACCGAAGATCCAGTGCGCTAAGGAGGAGCAAAAGGGCTTCCGGCAGCTGCCCATCGAGAACGGTCCACAGCCCCGAGCTCGAGATCTGTCAAGAACGACCCACCCCCTTTTCATCTCGTCGCTGACCAGAGGTTCTCCAAGATCAAGGTCCGGCCTGAAGGGACGTTACAGTTGCTGTTGCTGCTGCTGCCGCCGGCTGTTTTTGTATGTTGCTGGCCTCGCGCAAGCGCCGCACCAAGTGTCGTCCTGTCATCAGCGCTGCCTGTGCTACTGTTGCAAGGTACCGTACACATTTTGCTGCTGTTGTTGTGGCTATTGCTACCACTGGTCTTTGAAGTTACAACGATGGCCAGCAGCATTCGTGTTACTAGTGCCGGCCCCAGGAAAGTATCTGTTACGCTGCAGTCCCTCTTACTCTAATTTGATCGCTGCTTCCATTATGGTCATGATGACTGTCTGTTCTGGTGTTTAGTTTTCTTGTTGCAGCTGCTGTTGGTGCCAGTGTGATGGCCACTCTTGGTGCTTCTATTCATCATCACTCTTCATTCCTTTTTCGTTGTCTTTCCTTGTCGTTGTTCCTTATGCTGCCGCGGATGCAGGGGCTGCTGCCGTTGTTTACCGCCGCTACCCAGACTGCGGATGCCTTGTTGCTGTGAGTCGTGAGCTGCAGGTGCCGGGAGCGCAGTCCCAGCACATCCTGAGCCTGGAGTAGCCGACTCAACAGGGAAGGTTGCAGTGCTGAAAGTAGTTACGTACAGAGACATAGTAGTAAGAAGAAGAGTCATAAATCATGACCACCCGCCGCTGTCATCATCATCATCGTCATCATCGTCACCATCGTCATCATCGTCATCATCGTCATCATCGTCATCATCAACAGCATCGCCAGCACCAGCATCACCACAGCCACCTCATCACTGCAACAATGACAACAGCAAGGAAAACAGTTTTTAATTTGATGTGCGGTCCATGTTGCGGGCGTGTGCGACGGCAGCCCGGTCATGCGCCTGTAAAGTCACAGCCGGATTCGCTCTTCCAGAATTCAACCGCTGCATGTTTATTTCTCGCGACGCGGTGGGTTCGGTGGTTGGCTGGAGTAGAGCCGACAGAATTCATGCGAGCGTGGATCGTGCGTTCTGAATAACCAGCCGCTGGATGGGGCAGTGTCTGCGAAGCCGCCAAAGGTGGTGCAAGAAAGCCGCTGCAGTCTCACTTTCAGCCCAATCGTTCATCTGACGTTAAGCAGGAAACGAAGCTTTTCGTCACGGTCGGAGGCAGTGATATCAGCTTATGTGTTGGCTCGGATTTCACATACAGCAAGTGCCGCGACCTGACTCAAATGGACTGCTAGGACCCAAGAGTTGACCGAGTTCCCTTCTCGAGGTCTCAAAGTTTAGGTGCCAATACCATCGGTCCTCAGCTTAGTGGCTTAGTGGTCTGAAGTCCGCAAACGGCAGTCTGCCACAGAACAGCTGAACAAAGTCTTCCGCTATCAATCCGTGGCAGCATGCCGGCAGCGACTATCCTGTGCCCTGGTTGCATTTGAGGAGTTGGCTTGAGGCTTTGGGCGGCTACGGTAGTGCTGTTATGATGCATGGGAAGAAGAAAGGCCCCAAGGCCCCAAGGTCTCTGCTTCAACCAACTATCGTTGTCGGCTGTCGCTTGTGATCCGCTGCTGGCCGCTTCTGGATGCTGGCAAGAAACCGAAGCTCCTTGGTCCTTGACTCTCGATCTCACTGTCCTGCTTGGAGGCCTTCCGAAGGCCCCATGGCCATGGAGGCTGGCAAGGAAGAGGAAGGAGCAGCACTCTTAGGCCGGGGCGGGCCCTGGCCTGTCTCGCCGCTTTGTTGCTTTGTGGGGGGCGTGCGGGGCGGCGTGCAGGGGGCATGTTTTGAAGACTTGCAGGTGCATCCGAAATGTCCGAATTTCCTCGCGCTGCGCCCGGCTTAGGGTCTCGAAAATTGGACAGTGCCTCGTGACGGGTGCCGAGGCCTGCGACCTTATGCCGCCTTGGGCCTGCTGAGCATAGTGGTGGTGGCTTCTGCAGGCCGGGCATGAGATGCGAAGCGGTTCCTCAGCTTCTCCGTCTGTTCGTCCTTGCAGGACTCCTACTTCCAAAGCGAGGTGGGGGTTTCTTGAGCCAAGGCATGAAGCGAAGTAGACTGTTTGGGTGCAGTTCAGGACAGGCACCGGCTCTATCCGAACCTTCTGCGAGGCACCTTGCATCCTCCAGATCCGGGGGGTTTTGCCGTATGGTTCCAGTATGGTTTTTTGGGGGATGCCGAGCAGCTTCAGAGGCTCTCGGAAGCGGCCGTGCAGACCGCCACGCCCGCCAAGTTCTGGCTGATGTGCCCTGAACTGAGGAGGGTGCAAGGGTCGGGCATGTGATGCCACTCCGGTGCTGCTGATGAAGCCGCGAGTTTCTGAACACAGTATCCAAAGGCGTACTATTTCTCCCCCCTTTGTTTGTTTTAGCGTCTTCCTATGCAACCTTCTCCTGCATGTGTGTATGTACGTATGTTTGTACGCATAGATTTCCGCTGCCGGGATGCACCGAGGCCCAGACGCCGAGTGCATTTGGTTGGGCAAGCACGCGCCCGAGTGGGCTTCCGGTGCCGCAGCCATGATGCCGGCTACTGACAGCCCCTGACTAACGTGTTGCAAAGGGAGGGGGGTTATACAGTCCATGATACGTCTGCCGGGTCGTAGTTGTAGTGGCAATTTCGTGGCACTGGCAGCAGAACGAGTGGGAGAGGAGTGGCAGGAGTAGCAGTAGCAGTAGCAGCAGCAGTAGCAGTAGCAGTAGCAGTAGCAGTAGCAGTAGCAGTAGCAGTAGCAGTAGCAGTAGCAGTAGCAGTAGCAGTAGCAGTAGCAGTAGCAGTGGCAGCAGCATCAGGAAGAGGAGAAGTAGTGGTGGTGGTGGTGGTGGTAGTAGAAACAGTGTTTGTGGCAGTGTCGTGGCAGAAGGAGTAGGAGTGGGAGTGGCAGTGGGGGTGGCGTGGCAGTAGGAGTTGGAGTGGAGTTGGAGGAGTAGCAGTTGGAGATGAAGCAGAAGCAGCAGCAGCAGCGGCGGCGGCGGCAGCAGCAGCAGTAGCAACAAGCAGAAGTAGCAAGTAGCAGCATAGTTGTAGGAGGTACTCTGTCAGAAACGATGACCGCAGATCAGACATTTCACACAAATGCCAGGCAGGGAAGTGATTTCATCTACAAGTACTATTCGAGAAGTCCCTGGGACGTCTCCGGGAGCATCGATGATACTGCAACCTGGTTGCGGAGCAAGTTTTGAAGAATTGTTTGCAGTCTTCCGTATACAGCGGACCATTCCTGTATGTTTAGCTTAGGTCTCCCATCTGGGTGCTGTACCCCAGGTCGTGCTGGCCCATGTGTTAGCTTTCGACCTAAGCTGATGACCCACTCGAGTGCTTCGAGATGCGCTCTCTGGAGCCGCGGATGTGCCAGGGCATGTGGGACAAGATACGGAACAAGTGGATGCAATCGCCTGGCCCTGAGACTGCGCGGCCATGTTTCGATCGTGGTTTCGAGCCGTCAAGCGCCAAGCCTCAAAGCTACTGGATGTCTTTCTTGTAATCCTTTCCGGACACTCTTCCCGGCAGCGGCGCAGCAGCACCCATCCTGAGCTAAAAAGACCTGACGCGAATGGCAATTCAAAGTGTGCGATACCAGCAAACACATAATCGTAGAACGGAAAGTGGAAGTGGGTACATGCAGTTGTGCTATTAGAAACAGCAATGACGAGCACGAACGGTCACAATGCTGGCATTGATTGCAGTAACAATCGAAGGAATATCAGCAAACATGAGCAGCAGCAGCAGTGGAAGCAGCGGCAGTGGTGCCACGACCACGGCGGCGATAATGGTTTCATGGTAATGATATGAAAACGCTAAGGCAAGAAGAAGAACGCACAACTCGGAGTAAACACGCAAGACTGATACTAGCACTGCCAGCAATGAAAAGAAGAGCAGTATAAGCGATGTAATCCCATCCGGTGCCATTACAACAATGTTGGGTTGAGTCTGAAATTGCAGAAGCGGATGTGTTCACGTCTCCTTCAGGCCACCGATGTTCAAAGGAGCACACGTGACGATGCAGGACGAGAGCCGACAAACCACCTCTCCTAAACACGGTCGAAGAGCACATCCTATCAATCTTACTCGGTATTTACAGTACTTTCGTGATGTCACAGTATGCTGTTTGTCTTATTCATGCATCGCTAGTTTGTGCACGCGCAGCCAGGACCTCGCCAACTTCATGCGTGCCACCCTGCAGAGGGATCCTTTCTCTACTGGGGGTCAGAAGGTCCCTTGGATTGATCTCCGGGAAGGCCAGACCTCTTGGTGCCCTGCTGATGACTAGACTTTTTCTGCTTCCAAAGACGAGTATTCGTCTTCGTCGCCCGTGAGGAGGAGCGGGGGGTCCGATCCACAGCCAGCAGAAGGTTCGTGCCTCGAAGTGGGCGGGGCTGCTGTGTTCGTGTGGGACCTTTGATTCAGGGATTCGCTGAGGAGGATTTGGGAACAGGCGTGGGGCGTAGGTTCTCACCTGAGACCACTGCAGATTGTTTCCGGCAGGTTCGGAATCCTGTTGCCCAAGCTGTGGTTTAGGGTTGGGCTACTCGTTTCAGGTCCCCGATGCGCAATATTGAGTGTGGTTCGACATTTGCAAGTCACAGTTGTACACCCGAGATGAAAGTAATGTTCATACGGGTCAGGGAAAGAAGATGAACAAGGATGGCCTGACCCTGCAAAAGGCCAGAGCACAGCGAGAACAGGAGAGTTTGGCTGCCAACCATCGTCAATTGTTTCGTGTTTGGGCGGACAAATGTCCGGAGATGGGGTTTCGGTCTGGGTGTTCCCGGCTTTGAAGATGGTGGCGATGCTATAGTAGCTTGTAGATGTGGGCCACATGGCACACCCAAGGCAATCATTGTCAATCACCGGCAGCTTGCGTTCCTCATCATAAACAGCTTGGTCGGCAATAAGCTGCAGGGCGTGGAGACAGGCCGTTTGGAGCACCGCAACTTCGAGTGTTTTGGCTCATGGTGCTGTAGCAGCACGAATCATGCTCCGACTAGTCCAGTCACACTGTCGCTCATCAGAACCATTCCTGCTAACTTTTTTGAATCCTCTCCTTCTTGTTCTTGTGCCTTCTCTTCCTGACTGTTCAAAATCCACGATTCTAGCAGGACTGTTGCAGCTGTCGCTGCAGAAGTACCAATATCAGGATTGGTGATGATTCATACTGTCTTCCTGCAGCATTTAGGTACGATTCGGTATGTTTATGTATGTACGCATGAATACTGAGCTTGCTGTTGACCAACATGGTTGAACGATTTGGATTCAGAACACACGCTGTCTTTCCTGTCTCTCTTTCTCTCTCGCCATCTCGCTCTCTCGCTGCATGTAAGCGTCTTCTCACTTTGACTGACCACACGAGCCCCCACAGTATTTACTAATGGTGGCAGCACGGAGACGAAGATAGTAACACATCACAGCACCACTTCACCAGTAGGCCTAGGAGTGAGAAGGGTAGGTTGCAATCGCAGTTCTATTAAAAGCAGTATTGTTACCAGCCTCATCATAACCCATCATAAGCGGCATGATTGTCATGATCACCACCATCACCATCAACATCGCAGCATGACATTGCATGACACACTTACGGCAAGAACAACGCCGAGCTGATGTTGATACGGCTGCTGATGGTGATGTCGACGATGGCGATGACGTCCACGGCATCGCTGTTGCTGGTAACAACGGTTGTGCTTCTTCGTGATGATGACAGTTGAAGGCAGCAAAAATCAAACAACAGTTGGTGATGCTTATCATGACGATGGTGATGGTCATGATCATTATGATGATGACGTCGACGACGATCATGATGATGATGATGAGCGATGTCTGGATAGTGGTGAGGATGGCGATGGCATGGATCATGATGGTGACGGTGGTGACAGTGCTTCCGACTGTCGGATTGCGTGTAGTTGCGAGGGATGTGACGACTGTGACGGTCGTCTGTAAGATGTAGCCCTTTTCTGGAAGGCTTGGATGCAGCCATTGCGCGATGCAACGACGTCAACGATGCTCCAGGAGCCCGGTCGGAGCAAAGTCTCGAAGGGGCCTCGGGTGCATCTTCCTACACGGGGCATCGGAAGGAGCGAGTCCGGACATGCTGTACTCCCTTGTCGCCTACCTTGCGATCCTCAGCCGCGAACTTGTCGGGGACCAGGCGCGAGCCGCCGAGCCACAAGCCAAAACACGGCAGGGGGGCTCTCCTGACTTTCATTCCGAAGGACGGCACCTTTTTGGTCGGCACCACGCCAGGGCCTGTGAACAACCAATGGCTTCAGGACCTCCCGGCACGGGGCCCCAGCCATTTTGGCCTCAGAGGCTGTTTGACATGGAAGCTTCGGTAGAAAGCCTACCTTCTTCTTGTTTTCGTCTCTGCAGGCTCGCACGATGAAGCCTCCCACTCTGTGCAACCACGAGCGCCTGGGTGTGGCTCAGCAGCACTCGATCCCTCGGAGCTTGGCAGGGAATCATAGACCTCTCCGAGTGTCCAAGGCAGGCACGTGTGGCTTGAGCGACTTCATGGCAGCCGGGGTTCCCTTCCAGGCACAGGGATGACGTGTTGGACTTTGCATTACTTCGGATTTTTGCCAGACTAAGCTGCAGAAGGCTTCAAGCAGATCTTAGGAAGGCTCAGAGCATCATGGAGTGATGGCGCGGCATCTTTGAGACTTTTCCCTTGACGACTCTCATCGCGGTCCCAGCGTGGTTCTTCGCGGTCGGTGCCGGAGTTCGGGAGCAAGGCCAACATCCGAGTCATAGATTAAAAGGAAAGGCTCATTGCAGCACCCTTCGTAATCAGATCAGACCTGACCACTGAATTACGGGATTGGGTAACCTCGCCGCCTAACTTCGCGTCCTCGTGGCCCTCACGACCTGACCTCGCGGGGCGGCCTCAGAACCTCGCGGCGCCAGGAAATCGCGGAACCGCGGCCTCACGACCTTGCGGTCTCGCGGCCTTGCGGCCTCGAATCGCGGCCTGACCACCTGACCGCGTAGCTTCGCGTCGCGACCTCGCGGCATCACCTCGCTGGCTGCTGGTTCTCATACACTCGAGTTCCTTGCGAGCGGTTTGCTCTTTGCTTCTCAAACACTTTCGTCCGTTGCGACTGCTGTGGTCCCTGTTTCTTAAATCATACTTAAGTCACTTTTCGAGTGGTTTGCTCACTGTTTCTGAAGTACTCTGGTCCGTTTGAGCGGTTTCTCAAATACTCCAGGCCTTCTTGCGCGGTTTGCGTAGTCTTTCTCAAAAAGCTCTAACCTTTTGCGACCATGTTTCTTTGTTTCTCAAGCATGGTAGCCCCTTTCGAGGGATTTGCTCAGTTTTTCTCAAATACTCTGGGCCTCCCGGCCTCGCACCGCGCTAACCTTGCGGCCCTGGCTCGTTGTCAGGTTCTGTTCGTTGTGGAAGCAGATTTCGTCGTGTTCACCCTTTCGGCAGCGTCACCATCCTCTCCTTGAGATGATGGTCCGGATGATAATCCACCTCTCCCTCATCCTTGCCCTCTCCGTTCTCGTCCTCTTGCCCGTCCTGGTGCTCATTCTCGTTAGTATCGTCATCGTCATTGCAGTTGGCGAACTTTACACGATCCACTCAACAAGCCGTGAGAATTTCGCTTGACCACCGGCTTGCAGGCACTCACAGACATTGCTGGCCAGGACGTTCTTGCAAGTGTCCTGGTAGCTGCCGTCCTTGGAGTTATTGTGTGCTTGCTGGAGTTCCTAAACCTGATCATGCGGGCAACATCAGCAATTCAGGCTCTTGTCATGCATTCGAAGACATGTTGATGCTGGCATTGTTGTGAAGCATCCGTCGCACTCCTCCAGGACGTGGGCGGAGGTGCGCAGTTGTGCCATGTCGCCAATAGCCAGGCAGGGGGAGGGACATCCTGAAGGGGGGGAGAGTGGAGTGTGCGGGCCGCGTGCCCCAGCAGCTCAACGGACTCTCTTCAGAGGCACGACTTTCTTTCCTCTCAAGCTACTCGCCAGGATGAATCCCTCGTCATCTTCTACCCTGAGGCCAGGCACCAGGAACTTCCCCCGAAACTCTTCCGTTCAGTGTTTAGCACTTTGGTCACTGTGCCGCTTCGAAGCAGGTCGTGCGATAACGGTTCAGGGTTGATGGGTGGAAGAAGGGCTGAGGGCGCGTCAGCGGGGGTTGCCTTCAGGTACTGGCGTTCTCGATCTTCGTGGGGAACAACCGCATGCTGCCTGTTCCCTTCAGCCTGCTCGGTGCTAGGAGGTATCTGAACACCATCTGTGGCCCCGGCCATGTTTGAGTTCATGACACCTCTCACAGCAGTCGAGAATCAGTGCCTCCGCGAGAGCCGCTTTGACCTGCCAGATGGCGAGACGGGCATGGGGCCTCCTTTCCAGAACCTCTGCGGGAAGGTCTGGACAGTGGATGTGGGATTCAGGTAAATCTCATTCATTCCTGAGGGGTGCGCCTACTTGTTGAGGGTCATGTTTAGCTTCGTGGGGTTTCAGTCCGCTTACAATGGGCGAATGAGTTGATATCCTGTGTGATCACACATACCGCGTTCTATGATCAAAGGGACAAAGGGGCCAGTGAAGGTTTTACCATCTTTTTTACGGGTGCTTGGACGAGTGTTGCCAAAAGGTTGATGACGGGAGCCTGCTCAACGAGAACATCCTCATGCAGGACGTGTGGCTTTGCGAAAGTTCAGAAGTCTAGGGGCCGGAAACTCTCTTCGGCCTCCAACCTCAGGGCCCCAGCTCCAAGCCTTGCGCCTTACGGCCAAAAACACACAAAGTTCCGGAAGAAGAGGAAGCCAAAAACGGATCCAAGGAAGACGAAGGTTTCGCTCACACCGGTTGTCATCAAGGCATGGACCCCAGAGCGGCAGGCGGCCGAAATGCATCTCCTTCGCAATGCCAGCGAGCCCCCAGGCGTCTTCCTTCGTGGCCGTGGCCTCCTACTGCAGCGACTGCCACAGGCCTTCTCCTTTAGCTCTCGAAGTCGTGGCATTGCTTTGTAATCCCTGACCCCAAGATAAATTTGTCGGATGTGTCTGTGGAGGTGCGGGGATTTTCACCGATCTGCCACATGACTATGACTCAAGGTGTTTCTCGCATCTGGCGAGACGTACGTAGTACCACTGGGATTGCTTAGTTGTACGGCTCCGCCAGAACGAAGCCGCTCATGACTGTTTCCGGAATATCCTGAACCACGACTTCCGAAAGTTCTAGACCCAGACCATCTAGGCCCAATCCATGCGCAAAATACTGGATCCACAGCAGCAAAGCCCTTATTTGGAAGGGGCGAGTGCTCGGAGCCGGATATGTTCAACAACCTCTGCGACTCCCAACGGCGGCACCTCGACCAGGTGGGGCCAGGTTCATTCGACACTTTTGCACAACTCCTGCGCGGTCTAGGGTTCAGAAGCTGGGGAAGCAATGCGTTGTTCGTGAGTGTCCTACTTGTCGAAAGCTTTATGGAGCACTTGGGTTGACTAATCCTACCCCAAATCCAAGCAAGCATGTCCAGAGTTCTTGCTCTGCGGGGTCTTAGAGTAGAGTTTGGGCGGGCTAGGAGGATACGGACGGCATGCCGACCTGCGCAGGACATTTCGTTGTGGCTGCAGGCCGGGTGTCATCGCTGCTGATGAATCCACTTTGCCATGCTGTCGAGCCCTATCGCACCCTGACACCTCAGGCCTACAACAATGCCAACTACCACGAAGCCGTCTCTCAGACGTTCGCGGCTGTCGTCAAACGTATCGGCACAGGTCCAGCGGTCCAGGGGGCCACAGTGGGGTAAGGTCTTAGGCACCCCTCATATTCAGTTGCCGGCCGCAGTGTCTCAGAGCTCCGTCCATTTGCAGCTCACATAAAGTAGTCATGGAAATGATGCTCGTGGCGATGGGGATGACCATGACACGTAATGACACGTAAGGAGAATGAACACACGATGATAGTAGTAAGATCATGACGACTGCATATGATCTCGGCAATGGTGGTGTGTTGCCGCTGCTGCTTTCACCGCTGCAGCTACGGGAACGGATGCTGCTGCTGAAAAATGATGGTGTCGCTGCAGTGGTCTTGGTGTTTTTGTCGCCCCTTGGCCTTGTGGTGGTGGTGGTGGTGGTGGTGGTGGTGGTGGTGGTGGTGTCAGTAATCTTGATCATTGTGGCCGTGATCGAGATGGTAATGGCAGTGGTAGTGGGAGCGGTATGAGAGATGTGCGGGTTGTGCGTGGGTGTTCTCGTTCCTTGTGTGCGCATTGTGTGTGCTGTGTGTGCGTGTGCGTACGTGTGTGTGTGTGTGTGTGTTCGCATATATTCGCATGTGTGCAAGCTTGGCACCTTTCGTCCCAGTCAGCTGGTGCTTGTGCTCTCACTGCAGTTGTCAAGTTGGAACTGTGCCCCACCCATCTCCAAAGATGTGAAGCTACGACAGGCCCGTGGGGCGGCGGTCTTTGGCAAGGGGACCTCACGGGATGGGCACTCCTCTGGCGCTCATTTTGGAATCATTTGAGAGTGCGGGCTGCTCTGCTTCTTGCAGGACTGCCAACAGTATTTCTTGGCAGCCGCGACCTTTTGGGATTTGGTCTGCGATCGTCCAAAGTGGTAGCACTTAGAGATGAGTCCAGTCCTGAAGGAAGGGTCGGTAGAGACGAAGCTATCACTTCAAGTGTCATGTGCGACCGCCAGAGCAGATGCCACTGAGGTTTGGCTTGCCACGAGTATGCTGCCGGCGGTGCTGCGCCCAGATGGTCCGGCAGGTGTTGTGGCGGTGCTGTGGACATGGCTTCCGTGGCCATCTGTTGTCATTGTCGTAACTCGTAGTCTTTGTCCACGTTGTCGTAACGTTGCTGTCGTGATTCGTGGCTATGGCTACATGCGACACAGTCGAAGTCCTCGTCTCTGTCGTCGTCGTCGACAGTTTTGGTGGCTTTCGACAGTTGGTCCAGCTGTATTTGCGAAGCCTGAACGAATCTATGACCTGCCCGACTAAGATGGAGCTGGACTATTACATCTACGATCACTTCTGTGAGAATGCAGGCCGCGGACACAGCCAGCTGCACGTGCGCAAGAACGTGACACTGTCGCGACTCTCTTGTCACTCCTATCGGCTGTGGAAGTTGAATTTGAGCTTTGGCTCGAGGTCTAGGTTACTAGCAACGCAACAACACAATTGGATAGACTTTGCCGCTTGAGCTCCTTTGCCCCCAGCTCAGCCTGAAGAGCTATGCAATATTGGCCAGAGCCGAAGGAGCACACCGGAGATGAACCAATGGAAGCCAATCTTCTTCTTCTTCTTACTGTATCGCCACTGTTACAACTTCCGCAACCACCTTCGTTAGGACCATTATCGCAATAGTTTATAAGAGCAGCCTGCATGGAAAACCCTTCTTCAGGTCACCAGTGCTTCGTTCTTGAGAAAGGGTTGTGCGAGAAGTGCATCCAGCTGAGTGGCATGTCGGCTGTCGTGGGCGCCACAGCATTCAGCGCAGTGCACGGGGTCAAGTTGTCGCTTGTGGTGGGGTTGTACACTCACTTGTACACGTGTTCAGATAGGGCTGGACAGACGGTTCACAGGGGTTGTTTAAGCGCTGCTCAGATCGATGCCTCACGCTGTGGCGATGCTGGCGCAGCAGGCCGTGTTATTGCCGTGGGTATGCTTGCGTGACACTGCCGTGCCGTTGTGCTGGCGGTTGCCCTGCCCCTGCCAGAAATGGTACAGCGCATGAACGGCCGACAGGCGGGTGGGCACCAACCTGTTGTGTCACTTTCTTGTCCAGCATCATGCAAGTAAACATATCCGACTTGTCACTGCCTGCCGCTGCAACTCCGACCCCTGACACATGGAGGCGCAGGACATCTACTACCTGCTGCGGGATATCGGGCCACCGCCCACCCAGGCGAATTCCGTCGTACTTGCAACTGTACTTGCAACCCTTCTTCGCTTTCAGGGGCACGGAAAACCCTGAACAAAGTTACTAGAGACCTCAACTGTGCGGAATCCAGATCCTGGCGAGTCGAACTGAAGAAGACGCGACGAAACTCAGAAGAGCCCACAAGTTGCCAAAGATGGCTCCACAGAGGGCCAGAAAAAGGCACGGAACAGCTGGGAAAGGTCCCCGGTGAGGCTTCGACATGTCACAAGATCTCTCCTCAGAGCGCGCCTGGCTGCTTACTGCGGCGCAACACAACGAGCTTTGCGTAGGAGAGACCACGCGGCCGGGAAGCGGTCCCCAAAAGCTATTTAATATGAAAGTATCTGATATTACATATAGCTTCATACACGAAATTGTGTGAGGTCTATTGTATGATACCACACCATATCATGTTATACTTAATCGCTCAGACAGGGGAAGAGGCCTGAATGGTTCCATCCGGGCTTGAGTTTTCCCTTCACCACAACCAATGGCCATGGCTTGCAGTTGTTTGCAGCAAAGTCACGGGAATATGAGAGCGCAGAGTTGCTCAGCCTTTGCAGACCAAGAAGCATCAACAAGGCCCTCACAGAACCCGCCTACAGTTCGAACCCTAAAGGTCCAACCTCAACAGCCCTCAAGAATGGGTGGTTCGTAAACCGATGGAGCCAAAAGCGAGACGCCGAAAGGTCTTTGAGCTGATGGAGGGCATGGCAGGATGCTCAAGATGTCAGACGAGTCTATAGGGTTTGGGGTGACCTTACACAGGAGCCTCCTGCAGGCAGGTGCGTCTACTTGGGCAGCTTGCGGGTTTAGCGGTCAGTGGATGCTGGGTAAAGGGGTGAAGGGGTTTGGGGGTTGAGGGGTTTAGGGCACTGCAGAAAAGCATCGGGACAGCTTGTGCCCTGCCACCCTCGAAACCGTAAACAGTCCCTCAAGGCTCCAGCTTGGACACTGGATGCCATGTAACAGGAGCTCCGTTCGAGCAATGTATTCTGAGCGCGTATGCCAGCTTCGAGTTTCCTAAAGCCTCAAACTCAAGGCCGAAATCCTGGAAACCCTGGAAGCGCTCCCGAAATCCGGACTTGTGCGGTGTGGGCTGGCTTAAGACGGAAGCTTGTCTCTCACGCAAGGTGCTGCGGAAGAAATGAATGGCCAAGGCCGGACGTCGCCTCTCACAAGGTAGGACTTCTTATAAAGGCTGGCTAATTCTCCTCAGGTCATCCTTGGAATAACTCGAGGCATCGTATTCGTGGTTTTTTGAGTCAACTTGGGGTTCAGGGCATGCCAGGAAAAGATTTAGGGTCTCCTCACATGAGTGCGGTTGTTCGTACTTACGGACCTTACCTGCAGGGTAGCTCCGAGTCTGCTCGCGACAGGTCATTTTCAACGGCTGCTGGCCCGGTCCGTCCCGGTTCACGCAAGTTTCTGTTTCACCAGATGTCCACACCAGCTTCCGTCCTTAGCAAAGATCTAAAGCTCCCGACCATCACGGTGCCCGGGCTGCAAAGAACACGACCTGAGCTTCAGGGAGATTCAAAAGGGTGCTGCTCGTCGCGCTCTGTGATGATTGGCAACGGAAGCACAACACCAGGGAGCGGCGGCAACATGCAGTTGCTGCAAGATTTTATTCTTCATTCGCGACTCTGCAGCCTCTTCAAAGAAGCAAGGCTACTGAGTCCGAAGACGATTCGAGAGTTTTCCATTCTAGTTCTGCTTCTGTGCAGGTCGAAGTTGCCCGGTTGCACTCGCATGGCTCGTGCTGTCGGGTTTACTGTTTTCAGGGTGTCGCCGGTCAGACGACATGGACCTGGTGCAAAGTCCTAGACCAGCCCCATATCTGGAGATGTTTTGCTTGACGGAAAGAAAGTGTGGCGGGAGGGCATGACACGCTAGCTTGCAAGGAATCCCGGAAAGGCGATAATGAGCGCAGACCTGCAATCAACCCCAAATCCTCCGAAACTGTTTGGGCTTGGAGAATACCATATTAGCTCTCTTGAAGGCCTAAACTGTAAGCCGACACCACCGTGCAACAAGCACTGTGCACTCCGCAGCCATCCTCGACACCAACAGCCAGCACCCTGACTCTGAGCCTGAGCCCCAACCCGTGTGAACTCGTGATCGTTCGAACGCAAAGCCCCCATCCTTAGCCAACAAGTGGCGTGGAGTACGTCACATGAAAGCCGTAGTCATGCTGACCGCAGCAGCCGGCTGAGATCTGCAAGGCTCACTTTCGTTGATGGGTGGTAGAGATGTGGCACGCACGTCAGCATTGCCACTACCGCCACCACCGCCGCCAATGCCGCCGCCGCCGCCACCGCCACCGCCGCCGCCGCCGCCACCGCCGCCACCGCCACCAATGCCACCAATGTCACCACCGCCGCCAATGCCACCACCGCCGCCAATGCCACCACCGCCACCGCCGCCATCACCGCCATCATCATCATCGTCGTCATCAGCAAAGTCATGGCTGTGTCATTGTCTTCCTCTTTCTTCTTCGTGTTCATCAGCACCACCGGCACCACCGCGACCAGGCTGTGGCACTGAGGAAGCGCGTTGTCTCCTCCCTGGTTCGTATTGCTGTTTCCCAGTATCGGAGTATCATCCTCGTCTTCTCCAAATCCCCGAGCCCAGCAGTCCAAACCCCTCGCAGCCCTAACCCCATTTGGGAGTTTCCGACGACAGGGGACCCTAATATAGTGCCCTAAATACTAAGATCCTTTTTTAAAGGACCCCCAAATACGGTACCCCGAATTTTCCGAAAGGCATGCGGGGCTCATGTGGAGCTCATGCGGGCTCATGTAGGGCTCACGCTGGGTTGAGGCGGTTGAGGCCTCTTGGAGCTCATGCGGGACTCATGCGGGGCTCATGCGGGGCTCATGTGGAGCTCATGCGGGCTCATGCAGGGCTCACGCTGGGTTGAGGCGGTTGAGGCCTCTTGGAGCTCATGCGGGACTCATGCGGGGCTCATCCGGGGCTCATGTGGAGCTCATGCGGGCTCATGTAGGGCTCACGCTGGGTTGAGGCGGTTGAGGCCTCTTGGAGCTCATGCGGGACTCATGCGGGGCTCATGTGGAGCTCATGCGGGCTCACGCTGGGTTGAGGCCTCTTGGAGCTCATGCGGGACTCATGCGGGGCTCATGCGGGGCTCATGTGGAGCTCATGCGGGCTCAAGCTGGGTTGAGGCCTCTTGGAGCTCATGCGGGGCTCATGCGGGGCTCATGTGGAGCTCATGCGGGCTCATGTAGGGCTCACGCTGGGTTGAGGCGGTTGAGGCCTCTTGGAGCTGACTCATACGGGGCTCATGCGGGGCTCATGTGGAGCTCATGCGGGCTCATGTAGGGCTCACGCTGGGTTGAGGCCTCTTGGAGCTCATGCGGGACTCATGCGGCATCAGTCGGTCGTTCGAGCAGCATGCAGATGCAAACTAATTCTGATTGTCTTGGAGGGAGATCGATCTACGTGCCTCAGCATGGTTCAACAGTTTGGAACCCTTCGGCCGTTCCCATGGATCCCCTTTCGACGACGGTTGCGGTTGGGGCGGTAATCTCGCTGCCGCCAGTGGCGGCGGTGGCGGGAGCAGTGGCGGGTTGGCCAGTGGCAGGGGCGGCGGTGGCAGTGGCGGGGAAACTCGTTGAGGCAGCGCTGGCGGCGCTGGGGCCGGTGGCGCCGGTGGCGCCGGTGGTGGCGCCGGTGGTGGCGCCGGTGGTGGCGCCGGTGGTGGCGCCGGTGGTGGCGCCGGTGGTGGCGCCGGTGGTGGCGCCGGTGGCTGTTGGACTCAGTTGCTTTGCATTACTCTGCTAGCCTTGCTGCGTGTCTTTTGGATGGGACCCTTCACAGATGCAAAAATATTGGATGATTAACCAAGGTCCACTTCTGGTACCCGTGGTTCTCTCCGTGGTTCTCTTGTCTGCTGCTGGCGTCCAATACCTGCTGAAGGCGAACACTGAGAATCCGCCGATGTCGGCGCCAACTCCATGCCCTCTGACTATGTTCCGAAGCGTCGGGTTAGGCCAGTTCCTCCTTTGGGTCAGAGGATTGTGACAGTCTGCAGGTACGGCAGAGGAAGAGGAGTACCCAAGGCCTGATTGGCTTCAATGGAAGCACCAGTTGAATTGGGCTGTCATCGGTCGCAGTGGCACTGGAAAGTCCACCTTCATCAACAGTTTTCGGGGATTGAAGCCAAAGGACCCTGAAGCTGCGAAGGTGGACGTAAAGGAGTGCACCAAGGAACCGACTCCATACACTTTCCCAGCCGAAGAATTGAAGAAGATTGAATGTGTTGCGTTGCGGGAGAAGCTGGCATCAGTCAATCTGTGGGATCTCCCTGGTGCCGGGACCCCAAATCATCCACGGGAGACTTACATCAAAGATAAAGGTCTACGCTACTTTGACGGTGTTGTGATTATGACGGAGGGGCGCTTCACTGAGATCGACCTCATGCTGATTGTTGAAATGCGAAAATTTGAAATTCCGTTCTTCCTTGTGAGGAGCAAGGCAGATCTTGACATCACCAACTCTGCAAACGACGATGATTGTGATTTGGATGAACTGGAACCCAGAGAGTCGAGTCAGTTTGCGGAGAAAGTCGTCGACACATTGAAGACAGATGTGAACACGAATTTGGAGAATGAAGGCTTGCCTAAGATGAGAGGTCGCATCTTTGTCATTGGCAAAGTCGTGGTGCCTCCCAGCAAGAAGCCATTCTTTGAGATCCTTGTGAAGCAGTTCCGTGACCTCAGCGAGGCCATGATGCGCGACATGTACATGGGCCGCTCTGGCCGCCCCTTAAATTGGAGCACCGCTGGTGAAAAGGCAGCATGGATTGAGGATCCAGACCAAAAACCAAGGTTTGAAGAAATGTTGAAGAAGCAGGATTGCTCTTCATGCAAATCCATGGGCAAAGTGAAAGTTCACAAGGTTTCTCGACTGGAAAGTGCAGAGCTTTGGCTGAAGTACCAGAACTCCAAGATGGAAATTCGCGCGAAGTGGGGAGAAGGCCTTCCGCCCATGCCCGCATCAGCCGGATTGCCTGTTCCACAAGACGAGAAAGTCAATGAATCTTACCGTACCTGTTAAGAAGTGTTTTTGAGTGGTTTGGCTCTCAAAGAAAAATAAAGTGGTTCAAATTCTCCCAGCTTCGTGCTTGAATTAAGGAGCTTCTGATGGCTTTCCATGGCACGGGCAGTGACAATCTGGGCCACTTGATGATTCAAGGCCTTGATGAGCGCGTGGCGGGTAAAGGGCTCTACGGCGGAGGCTTGTACTTCGCCACTGACGCATGCAAGGCAAACCAGTATACCCGCCGGACCCCCAGTTAAGGACGCGCTTCCTTCAGAATCTTGCGGTAAGTATGTATTTGCGTCCATCTCTAAGGCACAGAGGACAGAGACAAACGGGGACACCCAATGGATGCGAAGGCAACACGGAACCTTCTTGTTTGTCGAGTGGTCATGGGATACCCCTACTACATCAAGACGAATGCACAGACGGACAAGATCGACCGCCGCCCTCCAAACGAGCCGAGCAACCGGTAAAGATAGTAAATCTTTTTCATTTGTTCTGCAAGCCGGCATCGCTTTGCATGGAAGTGCATAGTTTCTGAATGCTTCATTCAGCTTGTGCATGTCATGCGAGCAGGGCGTGCTTTGCGAGTGAGGTAGCGGGAAACCCTTTGACTCGGTGATTGCCCAGAAGGCTGTTGCCAACTTTGGGAAACAGAACCACACGGAGCTGGTGGTGTTCAACGGAAAGCAGGTCTATCCTGAATGGCTCATCGAGTACACTTTGGCACCTTAAGTGCTCCGGCCGTTGGCCATCCAGTGACAAAGCACACCCATAAGTCTTGCGAAAGCAGAGACTGGATAGTTTTGGGGATGCCACATTTGTCACGACTTTAATCGTTCCAGAGACACTACCGTACATACTGTACCGAGCGGATCATCGCAAAAAGAGCTGACAGTTCCATCATTCCTGGAAGACCCGGCAATTGATGCACTCGGCCTCCACAGAACGACAGCTGTTTAAACACGCAATCATCCATCTGAACGCATGTCGCAACTCCCACTTTGCCAGGATGGCACAGGAGATGCGCCCAGGGCGGAAGAAGGCACAGCTGGCCTTGGAGGCGCCCTCAGCGAGCTTCGGAGTGCCATGCTGGCCTTAGCTTTCGTGCTCATAACGACACGCGAAATGCCAACAAAAAGAACAACGGTCGTGCCAATAAAACTATCAGTCATGAACTGTCATGAACAAGAAGAGGAGTAACAATCACTAGAAAATTGAGAATATTGAGAATAGATAACGGTGCTGCTAGTCACAACATTAGCGATCGTATGAATCTGAATGTTATTACTACTAGGCAGCATAAGTAATACGGTAAGACGGACATACGCACAAAAACGTGAGAATCTCCAGAGAGAAACTACTGATGATACCCCTTGCTTATTATCCTAAAATTATAGCGAGGTCGTTTAAGCATCAGCCGGATAAGAAGGGCGCAGCTTCGAACATGGAGTAGCCTGAGGCTGGATGCAGGGACATCATCGCTTCACATCTCGCAGTCGTGGTTATCTGCTTCAGTTCAACTGCCGTCAGGATGCAGAGCTTCGCTCTCTACGTATCCCTTCGACTGCGCGCGGATGCCTGGCAAACGGATCTTGCAGAATCTTTAGAGCTCCAGGCTTCATGTGCGGAGTGCTCGAACTGCTCAGAAGACCTGAGATACTCGTGGGAAGCACTAGCCAAGCACAGTTGCAGCGTTCAATGATGTTCGTCCACCGAGCATCTTGCAGAGTCAGTGAGCGACGTTCAGCGTGACATGACGCATCGGTCGCTCACTGGTCTGAGAGACAATGGTGTGTGTGTAGCCAAGTAGAGCGGCTTCGCTCCAGGATGAAGGCCTTACAGGCGTGATTGGCGTGATTCTTTTCGTCTTATTTTTGGTTCCTGTAGTTTTCTGCCAAAGGCTTTCTAGAGACACGGTGTTAGGTTTTCGGCTGTTCCGGCTGCAGGTTCGATGCCAGAAACCATGGTCTCCTGAAGACACAGCCGAGCCGCTGTTTTGGCGAGTTTTTTTTGAGGCACCGTGGGGCGCTGTCTCCTTCGAAGCACAGCTACCTGCCCACCTTGCAGGAACAGGCCTCTTGAGCATCGAAGTTGCCAGTGTCATGAGTCATGAGCGGCGTCGGTGTCGCCGCCAGCAGTAGATGAGCTGGTCTTCTAGTTGTACTCTGTACGTTGCTCTTACGCCCCACCACAACAACAACAAGGACGGCTAATACTACGACGGCGACGACCACTCTGCTACTACTACTACTACTGCTGCTACTACTACTACCACTACTACTACTACTACTACTACTACTACTACTACTACTACTACTACTACTAATACTACTACTACTGCTACTACTACTACTACTACTACAATTACTACTACTACTACTACTACTACTACTACTACTGCTACTGCTACTGCTACTGCTACTGCTACTGCTACTGCTACTACTACTGCTACTGCTACTGCTACTGCTACTGCTACTGCTACTGCTACTGCTACTGCTACTGCTACTGCTACTGCTACTACTACTACTACTACTACTACGACGACGACAGACCAATAACATCACCACGATTTTGACAACCGCTGCTAGTGTTCCGATGAAGGTACAACCCAGTGTGACCCTACCGGGATCACTTCACGACCAGTTCTATTGGCACAGCTGCACACAATTAGTCATCATGTTGCTTGTGCTACTTTTTTTGTTTTGTTTTATTTTTGTTCGTGTCGTCTTGCTGCTCTTCCGAGATCATGGTTTGCTGGCAGTCAAAGCATCGCAGTGTTTGTCAGACAATAACAAGGCAGTCGGTATTGCGTCGACCTCGTGATGCCCTGTGCAGGCACGAGAAGACAGGCTGGTTCCTGAGTCGATTGCCCTTGTGTGAAATTTCGAGTTGCATTGCGCATTGCAGTTTTCCAGACACCAGGCCTCCGGCCACATCCTTCACAGGGAAATTTGGCAGCAGCGATGCACTGGTGGAGGTTCGATTCGGTTCGATCAGGGCAGACCACCAGCGAGCCATCTTTTGGTAATTGTTGATATGCAGGCGTCGATAAAAACCTAACGAAACGCGCCCGAACTTGCATGTCGACACGAACAGGCTTCTGTTTTTTCGGTAGTTTCAAGCATGTGTATGGGACCCTGAAAGCTCTAAAGCCTTGGATCCCGCAATCTCGAGCTGATAAATCATGTTGGGCGGCATCAGTCGTTGCGACCGAAGAGGCTGACTCCTCCAAGCGTGGCCAGCGCAATCGTCCGGAGACGCCCCCTGGCTCTGTCAGGGGTGGTGGGTGAATCCGGCTTTTGGGAGGCTTGAGATATTCAAGGGCCGTGTCATACCATGCGAAGCATAATTAGCTCCTGTCTCAGCGACTGAGGCTCATGTATACCATACAATATAGACATGCTATTGACAACGGAAACTTTCGTGATACCGCTCAGATGACAACATTGACTGATGCTCCTCCTGCCAAGATGATGGTCGGCTGTCACGAAAACTGTTACAGCTGACGCCCTTGATGATGTTGATAGTTGGTCGACCTTCATGGTGACGCAAATGGGAGCATGACAGCCGTTAGATTCCTGGGGTTCACACTGCCGAGAACAGTGGCCACTGGTACTGGTAGTGATAACTTGGTAACTATGATATGCAATCATTTCGACAACATTGCCCGAGTAGTATGGATACGAATGGGACTACGGGTACGGAGAGCCAGAAGAAGTGAAGGACGATACGGATAATCACTCATATGAGCAGCAAGGACAATATCGACAAAGCGAACCAAGAGGAAGATGAAGATGTTCACACCGATTCACACCTCAGGGGCTGTGAGGTTTGGGGCAGATAGAAGGCTTTCCGATCAACGGTCGGATGACTTGCTCGTCTAGGCGTACGGTTTCGCACTTTGGGGTTGAACTGCTGGGATTAAGGGTTTGGGTTTGGGTTGCTGGCTTTATGGATTGAGGTGCGGGATGGGGGCACCCCGGCACCTCTGCTTACTCTTGCTTGGTTGATTGACTCGTCTTCGCTGCTATCCAGCATTGTGCAACCCTTCGACCTCAGAGATGTGGTCCGGTTGTTCGTGTTTTGATTTGCTCAGGGTGGGAGGTAAGTGTTTTCCTTAGATTGGGCGCCGTGCCTGAGCGAGGCATGTGCTCACCGACTTGTCGGCAGACCTGCTAGAACATGTCAAGGCAAGGTGACTTCACCGGTGGCTGGGAGGCTTCGGAATCTCAGCTCATAGCTTTCGCTGTGCAGGAGGAGTTCCTTGAGAACGGGGGCGTCTTGGACGGCGAGCAGTTCGTGAAGGCCATGATGAGGCAAGGGAAAGAGCGGCCCGATTTTGTCGTCCAGGATAATGCAGAGCGAGAAGTGAAATCACGCGGACATTTGCCAACCATCGTTGAGTTTCTGCCGCCTGCTTGCTTCGCCTTCGCCTCGTTTTCCTCTCCCAGTCAACGGACAGCTCACTCGTGGCGGCGACCTTCCTCTGATCCTTTTCCTCTGCGTCTGCGTTCTGATCAGCAACATCACCGTTACATCCTCCTGATCCTGGTCTGACTCCTCTTTCCTGCCCATAATCACAATCACCACCACCTGCGTCATCACCATCATCATCATCAGCTTCATTCTCAGGGTCATCAGACAACGACGAGAGGGACTAACATCGCAATTATGCCGTGGCAGTGGCAGTGCTGAGAATATGCGTGTGCATGGCAGTCGACGTGGATGCAGACGACGGGTACGATGCTATTCGCTCCTGTGGGTGTTGCTGATGGCAGCGTTGATGGTGACGGTGGCTATTAGATGATGATGATGATGATGATGATGATGATGATGATGGTGGCGATCATGATGACGGCGGTGGCGATGAAGATAATCATGGTGAAGATCATTTAGATTATGTCGATGAGGGTGGCGAGGAAAACTCCGACAATGACGTCGAAAGTGAGAAAAGTGCTGGCAAGAGGGGCAGAATGGTCATGGCATTGATGCTGTTGTTGCTGTTGCTGCTG